TTTTTCTAACCCTACTGAACAAAAAATACAGACTTAACTAGATGACTTAAGTTAAATGATCACTTAATGCATCTATAATTTCACCAAAGGCAACACTGGAATTTAAAACTAGATATGGTATAAAAAAAAATTGTGAACAGTGTTTATTAACATGGGTTGAAAATCTTCATTCTTGCCCAGTTTGGTACAAAATGTGGATGTAGTTCCAATAATCAGCTTAAACACAATTTGTGGTCAAAAAAATGGCAAACTGTCTATTACAAGTGCATGCAAAATGATATAAAAAATTTCATCAATAGATATGCGACTTGTTCAGTGGCTCCCCCCTCCTCCACTCCATAAGAGCTCGTCACTACTTGCTATAGAACAGGAAGACTGGTGATATTTTTACTGGCTTTTAGGGGAACATATAAATCGCAATGAATTTGTTTCCTTTTAATTTTTGTCCCTTTAAAATAAACTCTGGTATCAAAGTAGATTTTTCCTTGCTTCACATGGGGCAGGAAAGTGGTTTTCATTTTCTTCTTTTTTTCTTTATGGGTAAGACCTTGCTGTGGAAGAGAATATTTGGATGCAGAGAGATGTTTAACTTTACAGGATTTGCAGGAAGTTTCAACTTACAGGAGAAAATCAATAATCTCCCTCAGCCACCACCAGATGTATCCTTCAGCTCACTAATTAAAGCTTCTGAGGAAATTCTCCATGCATTTTAAACGTAAAAGATACGGTAATGCAGAAAAAAAATGCCTATGTTAAAAATTTTAGCAAAAATTCAAAGCGGTCAAAATATTTCAGCATTTCTCATATTATTTAATTTCTTATTCACAGAAGCTTAATTTTAAACTTAAGGTAATTTTAAAATTTAAACTATCAGGTTAAAACAGCAACATTTTGAAAACAGTTTCGAATGACACTCATATGTTTTAAAATATTTGCAAATATACGGCAACATTTGAAAATCTTGCTTGACCTCCTGAAGAACACTTTAAAAATATTTTTGCCCTGTCTATGTGGCAGGAAGATTTATTTTGGAATGCACATGTGCTCTATTCCCAGTTTGATAAAGTGGCTCGTTTTGCCAATAATTTTTTTTTTTTTACCAAGAACTAACCTGCTATTAAGGATGAGGAGGCTGTGAACTTTTTATGCTAATACCAGAGACGTATTTTTGTTGGACATTTTTAATTTTATAAACACACACACATGCTGTTTTAGAACATCCTGGGTAAAAAAGGATGCTTGGGCTTTAAGTTTACATCTTTACTGCTACAAATGCACGCACATGTTATAAAAGCCAATATCTTTCAAGTATATAGTGTTTTAGTATGACAAGAAAAGGGTCTGTCTCTCTCCATCTTCCAAGCGCTTCTGAGCTTTTAGCATATTTCGGTATCTCATGCTTCACCATCTGAAAAGCTTCTTGAGGAGAACATGACTGGTCTAAAATGACGATGGAGTGATCTTAAAACCAGCAGCTTAGACAGAGGGACAAGAATATATCTTTTTTTTTTTTTTTGAGGGAGGAAGGGAATAAAGTTGTTTTCACAAGGGCAGCTGCAGAGAAACAGAGGCAGTGACCTCTCTGCCAGGGTGCTCACGCCCGGGGTTTTGTTGCGTGTGCATGACCGGAGTCGCAGAGTGAGTCAGCAGTGGGGACTGGCACAGCCCGCCGCGAGCCCAGCCTCGGCGCAGTGCAGCATTCATCCACCTATGCTGCCTTCTGGATCTGAGTTAACCTCCCGAAACCGCACTGCGCTGCACTGCAGGGGCATAGCAGCCACTCGGTGCTAACTTAGGAGTCTTCTCCCAGTTTTTTTAATCAAACAGCCCAGATGGGACTGGTTTTCAGAAAATCAATCAGATGCTGCTTACAATATTGATGTACTGTCACCAAGAGCAAACCAGAGCTGGACACTCCTGCTATTAGGATGTTGCTCAGTTGCCAAGAAGACAGTGTCTAATGCCATTTGAGACAGCACCGGGTGACTGGGACATCTCATCAGTGTAAGTAAACACAACGCAAGGTCTTTGGGAGACTGTTGGAGTAGCTGTAGCATCTAAAACTGCACTAGATGCTAAGAGCCAGGCAATCAAGGCTTTTTCCAGTATCGTAAGTGATGCCAGCCACTGACTGAGTGGTAGCACTCCTTGGCACAAGTTTCCTGACCCTCCAGGTGAGCCCAGTCCCAGCAACTTCCCTCAGCTGGCAACGGTGGCAGAGCTGCCGAGTCCCAGCAGTAACACCAGTGGGCTGGAGGCTCAAAACCACACAGAGGCACACATAGAAAGGTGTTTGAGAACCTCTAACCTGACCATTCAAGTCCAGTGAGGGCTGGGAGGAAATGTGTAAATAGCACAGGTATCGTGATCTAAACTCATATCAAACAACGATGTTTTCATAAGCTGTAAAGTGTGCAAACACATAATTACCCTGATGAGGCTGAAATAGTTGTATTCAAACTAATTATTTTTATAGATGTGAATAATCTCAGAGATGGACAAGAGCTGCTTTTTGTAGCAACTAGAAAGTGTTATCATGCCAAAAAAAAAAGTTCAGTCTCCTTAAAACTCTGGTAAGTATCTTCTAAATACAATTTTTCCCCCCTCACATTAAGTCTACAGTGTACAGCGTAAAATTTCACGCACTAAGTGTACAGGGGGACTGGATTACCTGCAAAGATGTGGTGGGCTGTTACTATACAGTGTCACAGCTATGTACTGCAATCTTTCAGTTACTGTTAAGCAAAAGCGACATTTAGTTCCCCTACAATGTTTAGAAACAGCAAGTGTGAAGAGACTATGTCAAATAAAGTTGTTTTCTCCCTTAATTTATGACCCATGAATCTCATTCTAAATTCCACAGGATTGAGTAAATGAGGCACAGTTTTAATCCATCAAATTAAAATCTACATTACCATAATCTAAGAAGCCAACTCCAAAGATCATCTTTCATGTTCTGTAGAACTAGTCACAAAATATAAATTAATACACTGCAAAGTCTGATCTTGATAATGATGCCTACTTCTCAGTGACATGGTAAGGCAGGGAAATGGTTTATGCAGCTTTTATGAACAGTAAATCTTATTTTTTCCATGTAAATATACACAAATTTATTTTTATTAACTAACTATGAATGTTATGTTCTCTTTCTTTATGTATTTGTTTCTATATACTTCCCTACCAATTAATATTCTATAAATTTCCTTCTCCTCTCACAAAAAACAATTCCAAATAAGGAACTAATCTACATTTACTTTTTTCTTTTCTCCCTGTAGCTTCACTTTTATTTTTAACAATTCATTAGCTCCTTCTCCTTCACTTGAACAATGCTTACATATATCTACATTGTGTCCAAGTTAGCTTCAACCATTTCAGAGATCTGAGGCTACAGCAAACGCCTCACGTAAACAAGTCTCAGCTAACTGTGGCTATTAAAAAGCAAACATTTGATTTCCAAAGTTAGTCATATAAGCCTCCCTCCCCATCAATACAGAAAGAAAGGTACTTTAAAGGTCAACTCATCCCATGCTGGTGCATGTGTGAGACAGCTGCGATACACTGGTGGCATCCACGCCTTCCAGTTACCATAGAAGGAGCTTAGGAGACCACTTGAGGCTGGAAGAGATCTGTCCTGGTCACGGTGATTGTTCTGCTCTTAGGTAGAGAAATGCTCCACTCCTTATTTCTCTTTTACAACAGAAACCATTCAACTTAAGCCAATCTCCTTTCAAAAGTGCAGAGCAGAGCTGCTAGGTTCGCATAACACCTCTCCATTAAAAAGGCTTTTTTTTTCGCCAGGTTGAGTATGAACATGGGCTGTGTCTACACAGCACTGCCGCTGCTGGGCTAGGATGACCAAGTTTTCTATGGCTGGGTTATGCAGACAGTAGTATCCCAAAGGATGGATCAAACATAAGCATTATTGTTAGCAACATTGCGTGCAAAAAGGAATAAAGGAATGGTGAGTCAAGTATTGCGCAGTTCCTTTCTTCCACCTGCCAAACGCCGTGTACTACGAGAAAATACCTGTACGTGTACCTGACTCAGCTACCCAGAGAATAACTTGGGCCTGCAGTGCCCCCAGGTCGGCACTCTGCAAGCTGAGCCGGTCACTTTGATATAGCCAAAGTTAGTATTCACTGAAGGGAACAAACTCCCTGTTAAGCTTTTAGGAATGATGAAAGAAAAAGAACCAAAAGCAAAGGTTAAAAAACCGCCTATTTGGATAATGACTTTTTAAAGGAATCAGGACTGGTGAACACTGTTAATTAAATGTTCACCTTTTCCAGAGTTAATAGAAAATTTTGTTTTGTTAGAATTTTGTAGAGAGGCTACTTGCCAGTCTTTCACCCAGAATACTGAAAAACTGATATATATGTGCTGGAGGATTTTCTAAATTACACCTAAAATAACAAGTTTTTCTCTAACTGTGAGATTGCAGACATCTCCTTAATAGCACTAGTGGTAAATTTTAGTTCTCACTTCTTGCATATGTATCTAACATCAAAGAGGGAACTAGAAAATACCCACAGGTACAGAATGTGGTTGCTCACAATGACTGAAGCCAATAATCCATTCTCTCATAGCCTTGCAGAGTTAGGAATTGCAGCGAAATCCTGCCATGGTCTCCCCATGGGCTAACAGCTGCCAACCCAAGACAAACACCGCTGTGCATCTAAGAGGCCCAACGGGTCTCCCTTTCTTAGGGACCAGCTAGGCTGCACCACCTGAATACAAGTGTCAGGAAACGCTGAAGGCAATAAAAGCAAGGAATCTTGTTAGTCACTGCAGTGGTGATGTCCGATGCTTCAGTTTTATCAGCGGTGAAATTAATCAACCAACTAATAAAGAAGTCTATGCTCGCCAGTAGGAGTTAGCACAAGTTACGTATGGGGATTACAAAGGTTTTCAGCGACTGTCAGGCATGCTGAAGTAGCTTTCTTGCTAGAAACTGTGTTAATTTTGAGTATTAAGAGAAAAAGAAAAAAGATGGTTCCGACCTGTCATGCCTCAGTGCCCTCATATCAACATACACTGTGGTGGGATCTGGTCCAGATGTTCCCTGTAAACAACAACATCAGCTAATGAGAACCTAAAGCCTCGAAGCAGAAAAGAGTTTTACTCCCTCCCAATAACTGAACATTCATTTCACTGAGAATTATGCTAATCAAATGACAAGTTACATTTAAGCTATTCATCAAACAAAGCTCAGCTTTACAGAATCAGAAAGAGCACTGGAAAACATACCTACCGTCCGGTACTTGTTACCTTGGGGGTTGAAAAAACATCAAACGGCCATACTACTTAACCAAACACATGTCAACACAGGTTTAATTTGCTACGAAAGGCCAAGTAATCAGCACGTGGATACATACAAAAAACGTTAAACACATTTTACCATATAAAGGAATGCGGAAATTGCTGAGGAGACACAGTTTAATGGCAGAAGCACGTGGTCAGGAATGTGAAGCATGGTTTACTGAGAGTCTTCGATACATGCAACAGAGAATATACTTGAAGCTAAAGATAGCAAAGGTAGCACGCATGACATGAACCAATGTGGACTGAAGTTCTGTAAGCAATTATTCTGTTCCTTTTCAGTCTCCCACTACATAAATTTAAAGCCTTACTTTATGTCACAATATTTAGTTACTTGAAGAGCGGCAGTCTAATTTTAGTTTCATTTCATGCAGAGATGATACAGTCTTTTAGGCCTTTCCACCCACAGCTTTGCTGCAGTTTTGTAACCTGCTATGATCTTCCCTTATCAGAAACTTCAAACTCATCACCAGAGAACATCATGTGAATTCTCAATGCTCTGCTCGGGCTCTTGGCTGCATACCTCACACCACTGCTAAGCACAAAGCTAGCACAAAAGTACAACTTCATTTCGGAACACTGGAACTTTCGAAATCTTCTCTTCAGCAGATAAATTCACCTAACATTGGTAATCTACAGCTAAAGGAACTCCTTTAACAGTTATTTAGATGTCTACTACTTAAAACAGAAGGCAACATCAACTCCCAATGATTTCTGTCCCATTTGGGATATATTACAGAGTATAATTCTTCACCTTAGGAATGTCTAGGGCTGAAGTCCGCATTTCTGCAATGCTGGTTGGTAGTTCCACAGCTTGTTAAGCACTAAAAATTGCAATGGAGTTCCACAAATAGATAATTTTTGTATCTAAGGGGGGAAAAGAGTTGCCACTACCAAATGATACTTATAGATACTCATAGTGACCCACCACCAGAGGAGAAAGAGTAATAGAGCTGCACATGCATGTTAGCCTCTTTAGCTTGTTATACACAATACAAGATACAATATCCTCTCTAGCTATTAACAACACAATTTTCAGTCTACTAGTAAACTCAGCAGTGTAACAGACTAGTGCTGAGTGGAGAACTTATTTGAAATATATGCAATGTTAAAAAAACCAAACAAAACCAGGGAAAAATTGGTTATCTTTAAAAATAAAACTAAACCTGAACTGATTTATAAAATAATGGAAACAGTCAAGTTTGAAAATCAAAGACAATCACTACGGTACTTCTTATTTTCTGTGTTAATTAAATAGTTACAACGGCTAATACTTGATGAAATCTGCATCCAGATAAAGCTATAGTGGACTTGTTTAGAATTTCATAGAAGGATCTGAAAATCCCCAAATCTCCAAACTCAATTTCTAGTCTGTCCCACTGTTGGAAGCTGATAGGTGGGTATTGAGGGAACATGAAAATCCCCTACCTGCTCGGCCAGCTTCCCCAGCCTGTGAGGCTATAGCATCAGGAATAGCAGGGATAACGGAGAGAAGGAAAGAAGGTAACACAAGACAAAAATAATAATAAAAAAATGGGAATGAAGAGTGGGAGAAAACAAAAAGAGGAAAATGCAAAAAGCAGGGAGTAAAATAAAAAGAAAAACAATGTCAAATACAGGAATCTTACAAATTAACCATTATACCATTAAAGGTTAAAAAAAGTAAAAAATGAGGTGTCAACATTTTAGTAGAGCAACAGAAGAGACAGCTGTAGACTGCTAACCTTGGACAAACAGACTTAAATGGTTTTAGGACACTACAGAAAACGTTGTTAGTGGAAAACAAGCGTCTAGCATACTGATTTTGTGTTTGTTTTTGGTGAAGAAGTCAGTAAACTTTATGGCCCTGCTATTTTAATGTACATTCATTGACACAGAATGGGTTCCAGGTCTGTCATTTCACTACTAAAAGAAATTTGTAAGCGACGTCCTCTGGAAGTCAAAAGTAAGCTCTCTTTTTTGGGAAAAAAAAGTATTAGTATACAACAGAGAAAGATACTTACACCTTGCTTCATATAGATAAACCTGCTCCTAAAGTGAAAGAAAATCAAGGCTTCATGCACAACCTAATTACTAGAAGACCATAACTAAAAGCAGTAACTTCATAGTTCAATAGTTCTTCCTTCTAAGTCTATTTGCTATGATAGGCAGTGTAATACATATGAAGAATAGTAAAATTAAAAGCTGAAAAAAGCTCATCAGTTCTCCACTACGATCAATAACGCAGCAAAGAGACAATTCACAGTGGTGACCACTCCTAAGCCGCTACTGTTAGGTGGAGCGTCTAGCATCTGATGGCTGCAGTGTGACTTGCCCTACGACTTGTGAAAATAAGCAGCTCTGAGAGCGCTGGCATCCCCCATCCATCTCATCAAACTTCTGAATGCCAACGAAGTTAAAGAATAGAGGAAGCCGCCACAGCAGCATCTTAAATCAAGTTTATTTTGGATGTGGGGGAAGATGAAGCATTTAAAATAATAGGAGGGATCTGCTTATTATAGTGCTGCCCCAAAATAGAAATATTACTAATAATCCAGGTTGAATGCTGCAGTATAACTGCAAGAAAGCAGAGCTGCTGAAATCCATCAGTTACAGAATTCATTTCCTGTGACTATAATGCAGGTCCAGAGAGGACTTGGAGAGTGCCAGAGCCACATATGGACTTTAACTAAGGAAGGGCTTCAGAAACATCATCTGAAATCTCAGCATCTTTCTTCTGCAACCAGCTGCAGCTGAGATACCCTGAAATGTTTCAAAAGAAGCAGAGTCTTAGCCAAGACTAGAGTGACTGCCTCCATTTGTCTTGCGTGCATTTATTTTGTGAGACAGAGATAGAGAGCATCTGTAATGTTGGTAACAGGAAAAAAACATGACCCCTGTTGTATCTGATACTTACTAAGGACATGCTAGGTAGTGTCAAAGCATAGTGGGCCAAACATAATTTTCTGTCTGAAAAGAGGTACATCGTAATTCACATGCCTTGGACCAAATAAATCTCCTGCCCATAGGCAGGCTGCCGCCAGTGAACCATTCCTGGTCTGTGCAAGCCTCTGTAACATGCCAGGCTTTTATTCTCTGAGAAAACATTGCAGGTCAAAACTGCACGGAGGCCTCCCCCAGCCAGTCAGCAGTAGCGATGACCATGTGCCAGCACTCTGCCTGTACCGAATTTCCACTGAAGCCAAAGGCCAAGCTGTGTGCTCCCCAGCTTCCCTCCCCAGAGTTAAAAACCAGGAAGTAGGAATCCAGAAGTCCTAAGAACTTAAAAATAACTGTTGTTTTGGGTTTTTTTCGCTCTCTGTCCTCAATGTTTACTCTGAGTCTACTTGTGCTCTGGTGATGCTCAGATATGGAATTTTTGATGTACACTTAACAACCTCACGTATGCAAGCACAGCAGCTGGAGCTGTGAAAAGAGCTCCATGGCATGACTCACAGTAAAGGTGGGAAAACACAGAATCTGAGGGAACTCACTCAGAGCTGTACTACATTGCTAAGCCTGAATCATACCTCTGATAAAATGCATGGTCCACTGTTGCACTCTTTGCAGAGTTAATCCTTATTACTTTTAATACAGAAAATACTCAAAAAGTGTGATGTATCACTAAGTAAAAAGAAACAACTTTAAGCCCTAAATTTACTAATGAAGTTCTTTTTGCTAGACAGCGTGGGAAGGATTTGTTTCATGTAACTTCAGCCTCTGTAGAAGAAAGTGGACAGAATAAGGTAGGAAGTATCTCCTGATGCTGATGAATCCCATCCCAAGATGTGCACCTGAGATAGGCTGAAGGAAACTCTCTCTTGAAGTATTTCTTTGATTCTACTGATGACAGATAGATATTGGATAACTCACTTAACTGTGCCATCTCTCTTAGAGGTGACACAAAAGAAGTAAGGTGAATCCTGCTGTCCTGCCCTAGCTTGGGAAGATTTGTTAGTACATTTTCAGTGTTGACTAAAGAAAACTAACAACTTCTGGAAGCTTTTCCTCAAATTAAATTGAGTAGCAGGTTGAATAAAATAAAAATATTTATTTCAAGTGTTTAAATGGAAATTAGCTAAGATCCTAGAGAACCACTTGTGCTGTTGTAAGAAAAAACCACTACTTTTCTTATCTATTTTGCTCTCTTTCTCTCATGCTAAGATGCTAGTTAATGAAAATTAAAATATGCTGGATGCAATCTTTTCATCTCAGAAATCCCTGGACTATTATCTGTGACTATGCAGTCAGAAAAGGTCAGATAGTAATGGTATTTAAGTGACTAAATATGGGGAGAATTATTCATTTTCAAAAGCACACCACTAAAAATCTAGTCCAAAATGACTACATCAAAAGAAACGTAGTACATTTGCTCTAAATTTGAGAGGAAATGAATACGAATGACAATGCATTAGTGTGTCAGTGATTTTAATCTTGAAATTAAGATAATTTGGTAGACTAAGTCTCTTTTGTACCAAATGAATTATCACAATGATTTCCTTTTAAAAATAATCTTTAAAAATAGGTCAAATTTGACTATCAAGTTTTTGTACATACACAGAGACACACACAGACACGTACATATACCCTCTCCTCCTTTTATTTTTGGTGAGGGGAACGACTGTAAAAGCTTTTTGGAAAAATCAGGATACCTTCCCCTTGAAACACTTGAGTCTTCCATTTGTCCAAAAAATTGGAAATGAAGTGAAGAAGGTAGCAAAAATCACATCCAAGCTGTGTTGGAGGCAGCCCATAATCAAGAAAGCCTGGATAGGCTTCTTACTGGTAGGGTCAGTAGCTAAATACTGAGACATGTTTAGAAAGGTGATTAATAGATACGTGTTTTAGAACGACCATAGAACAGGCTGCATCATAGTTATCCCCGTGGAAGATGGTGTTCCAGGAACCACACACTGATCTCATGGATGATGACACAACTTGGAAGCAAATACGCAAAGGCAGATGCTATTGACTCAAATATTTTTAGAAGTATTTCTATGCAGTGTGAAGAATCCAGAAATCATGACCCATTTCTGGAACATATTTGAGACAATTTCAGGAACATTGTTGATCAAGGACTAAAATTCATTCTGTTCTTCAGCCCAGAAAACAGAATAGCCCATAAGCTATTCTGGAATATCACTAGCCATAAACTCCAAGTTTGGAAAGAGCATTCTGTCTAATTTAGTATCCTGTCTTTGGCAGTGGTTACTACCAGATGCTTCAAAGGACACAACCCTGTACCTTTATATTCTCTATCAAAATGACATATTTTGTGGTGATGCTTTTAAGTAACATCTTTAGTAATTTTTCAAGTTCCTTTAAAACTTGCCAAACTACCCTTGGCTTACATGCTTCAAAAACCATTCCACTTGGAAGGGCAGCGTTACTAAATATAGCCTGTTCTGAAATGGCTTTTCTTCATTCCAGTCACACCTCTCTTTAGAAAGTGTATGGCTTTTAGTTTGTCCTACGGACTGAAATGCAACATCTTGGTAGAACTCAGTGAAGCCTGGAGGCTAAGCTATATGATCAGCCAGGCCTGTAATCACCTTACTCAAGGCTCTCATTCTGTGCTGTTTTTAAATTCATAGTCAGCATCATTAATAATATTCCTTCAGAGAGTTATCCACTTTTACAGTTTGATTCAATAACTCTTTCAAGTATTTCTGTAAAGAATCATCTAAGAAGCAAATTTCAGCTAAGGAGTTAACATGATCAAAAGGCAGATACACACATAGTCAAGCAAAACCCCAGCCTAACTCCACGCTGATTAGGACTTCCAGTTTCTCTGAGTGTATTCAGTTTACTAGCACGTTTGTAGTGGTTTGACAGCAGCCAAGTACCCACCGACCCGCTCTCTTCTTCCCCTCCCAGTGGGATGTGGGGAGAGCATAGGAGAGCAGAAGTGAGAAAACCCATAGGTCAAGATGAAGACAGATACAACAAAGACAGACAAATACAAAACACAGATCCATATGGGCTGCTGTGAAAAAGTTAACTCCATCCCAGGCAGACCCAGTACAATATTACCTCCAATGAGGCAAACTTGAGCACTGAACCTGGCTTACTGCTGCTTAGTGTCATTCCGTGGTTTTATTATTTGTCCTAAACAAGTGACTTATCTCATGAGTGAAGGAGGCACCAAAGTCAGGCCAGAGATCATTGCAAGCCTGAAACTGAGATTTTCATTAGTGATAAGTAAATTTCCGCAGCTAATTTTTCCTTGTTATATACAGCATCTTTCATGTCTGGTCCCTCCATGGACCAGAAGCCAGAGAACTGCACCTTGGTCACAGCAACCTCAAGCGCAAATAGAGGCTGGGCAATGAGTGGATCAAGAGCAGTCCAGCACAGAAAGACTTGGGGGTGCTGGTGGATGAAAAACTGAGTAAGACTCAGCAATGTGCACGTGCAGCCCAGAAAGTCAATCATATCCTGGGCTGCATCAAGAGAAGCGTGGCCAGCAGGTCAAGCAAAGTGATTTTCCCTCTTTACAGCACTCTGGTGGGATCCCACCTGCAGTGCTGTGCTCGGCTCTAAGGCCCCCAGAGCAAGAACGACATGGATCTGCTCATGAGGGTCCAGCGGAGGATCACAAAGATGATCAAGAGGCTGGAGAACCTTCCCTATAAGAATAGGCTGAAAGAGTTGGGGTTGTTCAGTCTGGAGATGAGAAGACTCCGAGAAGACATTTAAGACCCTTCCAGTACTTAAAGGGGGCCTACAGGAAAGATGGGGAGGGACTCTTTATCAAGGAATGTAGTGATAGGACAAGGGGTAATGGTTTTGAACTGATAGATGGTAGATTTAGATTATGTATTAGGAATAAATTCTTTACTGTGAGTGTGGTGAGACACTGGAACAGGTTGCCCAGAGAAGCTGTGGATGCCCTCCCTGGAAGTGTTCAAGACTGGGCTGGATGGAGCTTTGATCAACCTGGTCTAGTGGGAGGTGTCCCTGCCCACGACAGGGAAGCTGGAACTACACGATCTTTACGGTCTCTTCCAAACCAAACTATTCAATGATACTATGATTCTAAGTCCAGTTATTTTTCAGAAGCTCCACCAGAGCTGCAGGGGAGAGACGATGGACCCCATCCTAATCTGTCAGGAAAGTCTGAGCAGGCAGCCATGTGAAGGTATGCCATCACTTCCCTCCTTCCCATCCTCTGTAGAAGACATCCCATAGGCACTTCAAAATGGCTAAAGGTACAGGAGCAAATTAGAAAACTATTGTTATCAAGTAACCAGCTCACCTTTCTCCTCTGTTTTCCCTTTCTACTGGAGAGAAAGTAGTGTCCTGGCTGCCTGCTGTGCCCCTCTCAGACAAGTATTTAATCTTGGTTGGGTGGCTGACTGGGACAGCTCACCACCCTGCAACTGCTAACTAACTGGCCTAAACTGGTGCTGCCCAAATTGTGCTGTCTTGGATGGGATGTTGTTGGAATTGTCCTCTCTGCCTTGTCATCACACAGGACTCTAGAGATGGAGAATGAAATGAAGAAGCTTGTATCTTTGCAAAGAAACATTCAACAGAAGAGATTTCAAAACCTGAGTCGGTACTTTTTATGTCGATTCCATGACAGAAATATGTCAGAAGATGCTGCTGACATTCCATTTTCTCTCAAGAGTATTTATCAGGTTTTATTAGGGTAAAAATTGCTTTGAAGGCTTTACGTGCTGCTTCTGAGACTACAGCAGATTTTCTCAAACTTTTACTCCTGGAGGATATTTCTGGCAGCAATTACAGAAGGTCAAACTAAAGAACTCTACCTCTGGCACACAGAATGACTTCTATCCCTACCCAGCTTTGCCTGGTCATATGTTTGATAATAATAATAATTACAGTCACCCTGGGCTGAAGGGACACTCTGCTGAGAGTCAGAGAGAAAGCAAGCAGAACTGGAGACGGGGCATACCTCCCGTACTCACACGCTTGTAATGTGCTGCACTACAAGGTCACATTTAGCCAAGGTGTGACGAAAGCCAGGATTCTTTAGTGACGTGGAACAGGGCAAGAGGCTAAAGTGGCATAACACACAGACATACTGACCTGTGTTGAACCTGTAACCTGTATTTGTCACATTTTTTTTTGTTAAAATAAAAAATCTTTACATTGACAGTCAAGAAAAGAACAGTAAATGCCTTATTTGCAGCACCACTGAGATGATATATTCTGGCTTCCACACCTAAGCAATTACGCATGTTACATGCATGAGAAATCATTTACTGTAAATAGGGCTAACTGCTAGATTTGAAATGTGGGATGCCCCATACAGAGCACAAGTTCTACCCGGGAGACTGACTTTGAAGAGGTTATAGACATGGTAGGTGACCAAATGGATATGGAACTTCACGGCCAGTGCAGCTGCCAATGCAGAAGATGATTCTTGTGTTGTTTAAAATGATTATTAAGTCAAAAATCATATTACATCTGAGTAGGACACTTATGGCCTTATTATAGGACTAATATGTGAAGTTCTGATACCAGATTTGGAAGGATAGAAAGAGATTAGGAGTCACAAAAGAGACATAAATCAGGAAAGCATGTCTTAAGAATCTTTACTGAAGACTATGATATGTATTAGTCATGACAGAAATGAGATTCTTTATTCTAGATTAGAAAAATGTAATTAAAAAAATGGCTGAATCTAATGCCAGATAAATTTAAACTAGAAATAAGGAAAAATTAGTTAAAAAATGAACACCTTACAAAAAGGTAAGTCAACTTTCATCACAAAGTCCTGAAAGAGGAAATAATGTACTGCAGATCAGCCTAAAACTATTTGTTTGGTGTCGTTATCATTGGGTGAAAATGTAGAGACTATTCAGAAATTCAGACCAGATAGGTACATGCTCCATCTGACCTTAAAATCATGACTCAATAAAGATTCCGGGAGAATGTAAGTTAACTCCCCCATTATCCAACGGTACAGTCTTCTGATTAGTGGATCAAAACAGAATGAAAGAGATATAGGTTTAAGATTTTCCACTGTAAGCAATAAACTATGCAGAAAATGTTTATCTAGTTAATTAAATAATGGTTGGACTTACTTCCTGAAAAGAAGGAATCCATTTTGCAACATACTGAAGTAAGCACAGGGAAACTGGATTTTACATTACATGACTAAATACTATTTTTGGAGTCCATTCTGTCACTATCATGTGCTTTTCTGAATTACTGTACTGATGGGCAGAACAAATGTTATGATTGCAACATGAGAGGAATGAATAGTTGACAAAGTAACAGAACTTTATTACCTGTATATGCAAGAACATTAAGTACCACGTGCATTTTGGTAATATGTCTACATCAAGCAGCCACGGGAAATATAATGAATGCTTCTTACTGAAAACCGTTTTCTTAAAGTAGCTTTCAGCTTAAGGAGTGAAAAATCTTACCTGCAAACATATTGCCAGGTTCACTCTACAGCCAAGTGATGTGCTGACGGCCCGTGGATGGAGACCAAGGTCTTTAAATAATTTTGAAAATGACTGAGTAAGAGCTATCCGAGGTCGTTCTTCAGCCACTACTACACATGTCCGTACACGTGAAAGGTCCAGTCCCCTTGCCTAAAAAGAAGTTAAAAATGTAACAAAGGCCACAAATGCGCAGATTTAATGAAACAGAGCTAGTAGTACTTAAGTCTATTACGTAGGTATTCTGATTCAAGAGGGATAGCGGAATTAAGGCTACAGTGCAAGCATAATTTCCATCCTTCCTGGAGGCCGGATGGCCAGATGACAGTCTAATAGCCGTAGAAAAGCAGAAGTACTTGCTTGTCATCTCAAAGTAAGCATGCAGGAAGAGATGGGTATGCTAATTCTGGAGGAAGTGAATGCCATTTCTCAATATTAATTCAGAAAGTGAGCGAAAAACAGCAAACAGGAAGCAGCGTCTAGCCTTGGAAAAGCTGATTAGGAAATTATTAAGGAAGGATGGTAAGGGCTGGAGACATCATAAATACCAGTATCCCAGGATCTAATTTATTTCAGGAGCATACTGGAAATCCTAGATGATTTCCGAAATGTAACTGGCTACCTGGATTTTAATTTTTGGAAAAAAAAAAAAAAGAACATGCACATTCCTCGCCCCGGCAAATGAGGACAATTGGTTAAAACAACACAGTAGTTTTAAGTATGTGATTATTTAACTAAAAGGGTCCAAACCACACTACTGCTTCACATAATCAGGGAATTCATAAAGCACACTATACAATACAATATTCCTTGGGCCTCCTGGAGGCTTACATCTCTGTTTTCCAACACTTGCCTATCAACACAGGCTGCAAAGCAGATCAGAAAGCTTAGGTAAATATAAGTCTTTCCTTGATGTTTAAAAGCCTTGTGATCTGAAAGAGAATGACTGATATTCATATATAGCCTTTGGTGAGGAGTAATAAGGGTTCTGCGGAAGCTGCCCTTGCCCTCTGGTGATTTTTCTCCTCGCTGCAGACAATTAGCATGGTCCTTCGTGGCAGGACAGACTCTCGGACACCACCGTGCAGACCAGAGGTTATGCAGGACAGCAGAATTACTCACCTTCAGTGACTCTGTTTGCGAACCGAGTCCCTTAGTACAAAGCTCCATGACCGAATAGGAACAAAAAGTGTCTCTCACTTTGTACTGACTCACAGCAAGAAGCCACAGGGCAGGATTGGTCTCCAGTTCTGAGGGAGGAATCAGAATAGACTGGTGTCCTGAATACACGCTGTAAAGACACAAGATTCATTAACGGATGCTGCACGCCTGTGTCTGCAGATGTTTACAAGATATGGGGTACTAGAATATAAAGTTTATGCCAGCACTGAATGAACCATATAATGTCTTAGAGTGCTCTACAGGTCAGTAGTTTAACAAGAAGTTTAGCTCTGTTTTTTGTTACACCTTCAGAGTCTACGAAGAATCATGAGGAACACAGGTAGAGCATATTCCTAAAATCCTAATTTACTGAGAATGCCCATGGACTTTGCTGTTAGAACTGAACTGAAAAGCACAAAGTAACTCAGTTATTAATGGTGCTACTAAACAGTATTATAATATCAACAAAAATTATATGCTGCTGGCAAATAATTAAGATTGAATAATTACCATTTTAAGATACCTTGATTGTAAAAGTATTTAATTGCTTAATATGGAGATAACCTCTCTCTTACTGAGGCAAGCAAGAGGTTTGCAATCATTTCAGAGGAGTAAATCTGGCCCAAATTTAGCAATCCTTCTGGCATCCCTGGCGGCAGGGAGGCTGGATTAAAATGATCTCTAAGGTCCCTTCCAGCCTAGGCCATTCTATGATTCTATGATTCTAAATTTCTTCTTGGAAAGTTTTACAAACTTTTAAAACCCAGATCTCTTGTTTACTGGATAGCCAGTAAGCATAAGTATTGAGAAAAGACACTTGTTAGAGTCCCTGAAGGAAACAATTATGTCAGAGCTAATTTGTCGGGTATCCAAGATTCTCCCTAAGGGAAAAAATATTCCTGGTTTGGTATTTTTATTTCCCATGGCTCCTATGCTGCTCACTCATCTCAGACAGGCAGATTTACCACGAATTTTACAGTCTCCTCACATCTTAATTTGTGATTTACAGATACTTCAAATTGTAATGATCATAGCATGAAACCCCAAAATCACAGAGGTTCTGAGAAAGGAGGATAAAGCACCAGAGATTTATGGCGCACACCAGAGAAATTCATTTGTGACTTGAAAACTTGAAACGCCAGCTTGGTAAAGTCAAGCTAATGTTTTCAAATCCAAGTGCCTGAGGTAAGAAACGAAATGGAACTTTATTTTCAGGAATACGAGCATCTCTGCAACATGTGACATTAAGAATATATACACCTTTGCAATTCTTGAAGATCGGCTGCTCCCACAGCTTCCCTCCTTGCTGAGTGTCCCCACTATCCCCCAAACCCAGATAAGAGTGCTTTCAAAAGCTGTGCCATTTAGAACAAGGTTTGTGTGACCTGGATGCCTTTACTTGGTATGATAAAGGCATGAAAGGTACACAAGTCCAGCCACAATGGCAGTTAATAATTCAAATGAGTTTACGTCTCTGCTGGAGTGTGAGCCAGAGGATGTCACGGAATATGTATGAACTACAGTTCAAATAATTTAATTTATCATAGAGTAAAAATTTTATCTTTGACTGCTTGTCCACATTTACTCTGCTCTTGATGACTCATGACCAGTAACTTGCCATGAAATGATGTGTTCTTGGATACGGCTGACATAATGACTATGGCATGGGACGGCCCAATGAAGCATTATGCTTTTATGTTGCTTTATGGAATCAGAATAAAGTATGACTGAACCTCCAGCGTGTGCTTCATAAACATGTGAAAAGACATGTTGGCAAAGTTACTCAAGCCTGAAAGGAGTATGCCCTGAGCTCGAGTGACAGATCAAACCCAGCTAGGGAGTAGTAACAGTTTTTACTATAAATATTACTACATTCTTTATTTCTTAGCCAATTCTATTAAGCTGAGAAGACCAAAAACATCTTAGTTCTTCACAAATTTAAAGTTAGGACCCTACAGACAATCAAGGTGTGTGATCTCACTAGTAAATACATAATTCTTACAAATAGGAAGCTGTAACCACTCCAGTAAGAACCTGGGATGGGCTCCAATCTCTATGAAAATAGAGATTCAGCACAAATCTTTCACCCTGTCCCTGAACTCCTCTAGTTGATGCAACTAATACCAGGAGAAAATAAAAAGAATCTGCACAATAATACAAAAGCTGCCAGGAGGTCAAACGTGGGAGAAATATTACTCAGAATCTCATTAAGATCCTGTAAGTGCCACTTCTCAACTGGGCAGAACATCCCAAAATTAAAACAAAATCAAAAGAACAAATTTTAATCCAGTACTGAAAAGTGCCCCCACAAAGTACTAAGCGAGGAAAATGCAGTGGAACAGAAAATTGATTCCAAGTGCATTTTACCAGGAAATAGTCCAAAATGTTGGAATTTGGGAATACAAATTTACACCAAAGACAAATCTTTCTCCCTGGGGTAAACTGTCCCTCTCTCGATCAACTTATTGCGGAGAAGTAAGCAAGGTATTTGTGTTTGCTCTTAACCTCCTGCCAACCGCCACGAAGCAAAGCTTAGGGAATTGGATGCAAAACAACCCCATTTTCTCCAGACTGAGGGAAACAAACACTCTTATGATCAGACTTTGACTAAAAAAATCACTCTGATTACAGGGAAATAATTGAAAAGATGTTGTCAGTACCTTTTCTGTGTGTTCTAATCCCTCTGAAGTACTAAGGAGTTAACGAATAAACTGCAGAGCAGCAGGAAGGAACTTTCTGTGGTGCAGAACCTCAGACATGTGCTGCTCTTGTCTGCAGTACATAGACCCACAGGAAGATGATACCATGCCTGGAAACTTGATGATCAACACAGACTTTGCCTGTCAAGCTGCGGTTTAATAACACATGCATATCATCTGATTTGCTAGAGCAGTTGGTGGAACTAGGAGAAGAATTACAAAGACCCATTTCTGGTGTGAATGTGCCAGTTCCACAGCTGAAGTGGTTTATGCAGCACCTGGCCACCACGATGCCAGTCATCGCTTGGCTCACCTACCTGAATCAATCTCAGAAACACTCTGCAGTTTTTTGTGAATCACTCCAAACAACAAAACGTTCCTGGTAGCCACACACCGTTGCAGATTGCCAGATGTTATACTTCCATGTTAACCCCTGAAAAGCTGTTATGTCACCAATGCTTTGGTTGAGAGAAGCTGAGAAAAGCAAGATACTCCCTTATACACCTGGAACATGCTCTAACATCTACTACTCTATCCCTGAGATTTTAGAGGGTGTTTGCTTAGTATGGATGCCAGCAATCAAGCAGAGGACCACACGTCTGAACAGGATGCAGTTGTGGAAGGCTGCTTTGGAGATGCTGGATAAAGCAAGGTATGATCCCAAACCTGTAGGAAGTTCTGTCAATGCCACATTCATGTAGAGATGTTTGGTAGGCACCTCTAGATACAGTGTATTCTTGATATGATAGAGTTAACCCCGAAACTGAGGCCCTGAACCAATACCCAATTCCATCTCCCCTTGAAACATGATGGTCATGAAGAGATGGTTTTGCTGTTCTCATACTGGAAACAAGAAAATCATGAACACTGTGGCATCAGGGTGATCAGATGGGATACTAGGAAAAAAAAATGGGAGTTTAAGTATAATTTGTAGAAGCTAAATTCTGAATTTGCAATGATATATGATATATTGGACTAGGTGCAAGAAATTAGTTATATAAATACTGGGAAGGAACTGAAGCAAGATCGTTTCTTCTACTGCTGTAGAAATCTGTCACCACAAAAGTAACTGTCTCCTGACAGAAGTTGGAATGGGAGTAGACATGGTGCGGAACTGCGGAGATTATCTGGGAGACCTGGACATCTGTTTATCAGTCTCCACACCATTTTTAGAAAATGCAAAAGGAGTAGGCAAAGAAGAAGAAAAAAAGACTACACAGCACCCCTGCATCACCTTGTAACAATGACTTTTGGGATGCAGATGTAGAGTGAAATGAAGTGGTAGCTGAGGTGGGAGATCACCTTTTAGAAAAGAATAGTCTTCTTTCAGGGGACTGCAAAGCAATCTGGGGGGAAAAAAGCATTCATGGTGTGGACAAAGCCTTGGATTCTGACGGTAAGTGAAGAGCCTTGTCTGCCTGCACTAAGCAAGGGCTGCCCAAGGACAGGAATACTCCAGCTAAACGCACCAGGATGTATTTTGGTATGACGGCACCATCTGATCACAACACCAGTTTCACTGCCTGGCAGGCTCTTCTGGCAGCATATGGAGATGCCTGGAAGGACATTTTGGCACTTCACTGTTCCACCGAGCCAAAGATTTACCCCATGTTGGGCTGAGGCAGATTAACAGTAAAGTCTGAGGTTTTATCATAGTTCCAGAAATTTAAGCAGGGCAATAAATGCTGACAAATGGCAACTGCAATTCGCAATTGCATTCTGGCAGGCTATTGATACACCTCTGCCCTTCCTTCTGGTGTCCTTCTCAGGTGATATGAGTGGTTTCCCACTTAACTGCAGGAGGCAGGTAGGTAGTCCTGAGTCTCGTAAGTACACGCATTTAGTTTCTGCACTTCTACAGATGATAACTGGCATTTAATGGTGAGGGATGGGTATGGTAGAGCCCAAAATAATTGAATTGCCATGCCCATGATGCTAGGTCTGTGAAAAGAGCCTGCATGCTGAGGGACCCTGACTGGGACTGAGTAAAATCCTTTGCAATCATCTGGACAAGAGCTTGTGGCAAAGATGGTACAGGCCACAGAGGAATGTGTTTGGGCATGTGTTTGACCTAGGCTTCATAAAACATGGGCCAAAATTAAATCTTCAGTTCTCCTGCAAGACCCTGTATGTGCACACAAAGGGGCTTTTGAAGAACAAGTAAAGCACCACCTACAGAGTCCAAAGATGCCCAGCTGGTACACAGTGCATGATCAGCATGACTGCACATGGCAAGCAGATAAGCAACCAGTGCTGGAGAGACAGAGATATTTCACACACAAGTTTAACTAATGTGCAGCAAAAGGGATCATTGCGTAGGGCACACAGAAAGGGGAATATCTCACCCGTAAAAGTCAATATGTTTCTGGTGCTGAAAATACATCCAGTTTTTACAACTTCCACTTGAGAGTACTGGAAACTGGTGTGAAAGTGGAGCCATAACCCAGCACTTTGCTTTAACTCAAACTGTGGGGTTGGTACTCCAGTCAGACACCTGGAAGTCTTTGGTTCACACTGAAATGCCAGTATTTTGTTCCTGCAGTGACTGCACTACGCCCTGCACAGCGCTGTCTGCCCAGAACAAGAGCCAGAGCTTAATTCAAACTTCTTGTTACTGCCATGTCTTCATGGCTTCAACCTTCCCTTTCCAGAGATGTGCTTCAGCAACCTTTGAGCTTCACAAGGGAAGCTTTCTAAAATGGCTCCAGGTTGCTCCCGGGCATTTCTGAACTGATGTGTAATTTCTCATTGTGAAGCTGTTGTCAACTGCTCCTGAGCACAAACACATCATCCAGCAGCACCACGAGTGGGAATCATACACTTGGAACTTGGGAGTGCTTAAGGCCATTTCAACACAAAGTCCCTTCGTCTAAATATTTAAAGCAGGTGAGGAAGTTTTTGAAGTTTGTTTCTATTTTGTATTGAAGACAAAAAGAGATGGCCATCTTGCCTGCACAGAGAACACACAGCCTGAGGTTACCTGGAGGATGCAGACAGCAGTATCATTTCTCTTTGCCTTGGCACTCCTAAGGCAGGCAGAGACTAAACTCAGCCAGCTCAGTTCATTACAGCACAGTTTGTATTTATAAGCCATTGCTCAGACCTAAGCACTGCTCAGGTGCCTCAGCACCACCTCTCCTGCCCACCATGTATGGGCAGGTGTACAAAGCCAGTGGAGTTAAGTCTGTCAACACATGGCAGAACTCATGTATCAAGGTCATTCAGGGCTTTCAGCTGCCCTTGAACCTTCTAGACTTGAGGCAAGTTTAACAGAACTGTTGTAATGTGGAAGAAATGCAAATAGCCTCTTCCATAAATTGCCGCTGGAAACAGGCACAGAGCAGTGCGTGGAGAGATCCACCTTTACATTCCTCCTGCCCCAGTTACGCACTTTGCAAAATGCATGAGAGATGGCTATGTTCAAATCCTTCCCTTCCCATGTCAGAGTTATCCTCTTCTGATGCAGCATTTAGGCTTCTTTATGCAGTCCTGCCTTTAATTTGCTATAAATGAGTTGGAAATTGGGTGAAATGCTCATGCTTGCCAGATATCTTTAAGTTAGCCTGAAAAAAACTAACAATAATTAATGAGTCCTTGCACACTAACGTTTTCTCAAATGCAGTTCTCATGTTAATGCTGCAGTTCCTCGCTTACTTCTGGCACAGTTCCACCTGTGTGGTTAACAAGAAACCTTGCAGTCTCTTGCTGTAGAAGCTACCCAGCAGCACCAATGGGGGCTTCAGCTTGTGGCTATGGAACAGACACAGCAGGAGCAGGACAGAAGAAAACCACTTCACTGCACTTTACCTGGAAAGCCTTCCCAGCACCATTTTACGGTATTCCTGGTCTTTATTACATGGTCACTGTGGACCAGAAAATTCAGTTCCTCTGGACCAGTTTGAGTCTTACTGACTTACACTATTACAATCTCAGTTTCTGAGAATATATATAAAATTTATTTAAAATTATTAATGTATGTAATTTCAACAGCAGCAAGGACAATACTATCTTCTAGTGGTAAAAGTAGAACTGCAATATGAGTTGGCTTAGCTAGACTAAAACAGAGAGAAAATTCTTATTCTCTTGCTCAGAGACTATCAGTTAAGTAAATTCTCACTAATGAAGTGTCGAACGCTCCATGCTGCTCCACAGTGAGAAGCATTAAGATAGGGACATCGTAATTGCAGGAAGCATTTCTGAACAACGGGACTGAGTATTGATTTCTTGTTTTACATTGGAGAACACTTAATTATTCTTTTCTTTTAAAGAATCTAATACATTTTAAAATGTAACACAACCCAAGTCAGAATATTAGGATCATCCTCTCAGAATGGATAAAGGAGACGATTAAAGAGAAAAATGTGAAAGTAATGTATTCTTTTTCTGAGTCACTAGTAAGAACCTGTTAAAATCAGGAAGTTTGGCGTTTGTAAACTCACATGAGGCTGATGACTGCCACCAAACCCAGGACGTGCTCTTCAATGACAAAGGCTCCAAGGAAACCCTGCTGGAGCTGGAGCATGCAGCCAGTTTAGAAGGAACATGGTAAATCTCTCTTTTTTTTTTTTTTTTTTGGAATATATTGCTCTGCTTTGCAAGGTTTCTTTTCTTTGTTATTTTATACCCTTTAGGCTATAATATAATAAATTTAAAAAAACCAAAAACTTTGCAAAACTATGCAATATATTCCAAACTTACCAAAGGACTGGCTCCATGCTCCAGCAGTTTTCCTAAGTAGCTCTGACCTCACAGAATGGGGCATTCTGGGGCACCACAGTGGAGCAGGCCAGCACAACGTCTAAGCACCTACAACGGGGATTAAAGGTTAGTCCTCCTGCATTCCTAAGTCAATGCCTCCTTTGGTCTAGTTAATAAAGGGATTAAAATGTACTTGTCATCTTAAGCATGCCCAGCAAAGGAGGCTGCTTTCTCTTTCTGCTGGGCTTCTGAAACAAAGAGTTCCTACTTAACTCTCAAAACTCCTCAAAAAATGAAGATCTAATTTCATTTCCATATGCCATCAGAAGTATTAATTTAGTTAATGGGAGTGGTGACAGACAGTCATAACTTTACAGTCGAATCCTCTGAGGTAGAAATCTGAGCTGTAAACTGCTGAGGAGGATTTGAGTGTGCCGAACTATAAAGAGTAAAACACAAAGCTATAAAGTTTTACATTATGAAGAGGAAGAGTCTAATAACCATCAGGACGTATTTTTTTGCTATCACATCAAATACTGATTTCTAAAATAGTAATGAAATGGAAATTAAGACTGTAAGTGGAATTAAGGAAGCTGTATCTGATGTCAGCTTTCTCTAAATGACAGTTGCAATTCAAGCAGTCTGCGATTTTTCCGGTTTTACAGGAACAGGAGATCCGTGGCAAAGAAACCGACACCATGATACCCAAGATGAGTGTTGCTGGCATGATCCCTTCAGCTCCCTCATTTCCTTACTCTTCTTTGAAAATGGTATATAATTTTCTATTCCTTCTACAAGCTACAGAGGAGCACAGACCTTGAATGCTTTCTTCCAAAGGTTTGCTGCCTTATTCACTTGCCAGTCATAAACAATCTTCTCCCAAAGGCTGAATACTATCAATACCAGGAAGGATCTAAGGGCAACAAATGCTTATCTGTTCCAAATATGGTTCTGGAAGAATAAAACGTTTCTGTATTCAGGAGAGTCATGGGCACCACAAATTACCTGGGTTTGTCACAATTCAACATTTTATCTGCATTTTTTGCCTCTATCATGATGTTGCAGAGAAGTTATTCTTGGATGCTCTATGTCCCAACATCAGCCCCTACAATAAGACACTCCTTAGCTGAATTCTCCTGTGGTGCTCTACAGTCCTTTCCTGGTGTCACACAGCACACCATGGAGGATTTGGCAGCAGAACAAAGGTCTAACAGTGCCGACATCACAGCGTGCTGAAACACCTAAGTCTACATAAGAAATAGTCAACTGACTTTAAAAAAAAATCAACATTTTAAATTTTTAACATAAACAGAGTGATTCAATCACAATCTCAGAACTTCTGAAAGGTTTTCTGATTTTTTTTGCAGCCTCAGTATTTCTTTTTGTGTTGGGGAAATAAGAGTTTAAAATAAAATTAGTTTTCAAACGAAAGAAATATCTAATCCTTATATAAAATCTGAAATAATATCAGGGCAAGTATAGTTTAAGTCAAGAAAGACTGATCAAGAATATCAAGAAGATAATACTGCTACTGTTTGCTCCATTTAATCTTTAATAACAGATATTTTTCAAGGGCAGTAACGCAGGCCAATAGCCTACTTTTAAATAAGAAATACTTGCTGAAAATCAATTGTTGCAGTTCTTATCAATTAACGCTTCTTTCAGGTGTGTAGTAAATTGGTAAAAAGTTTATCCAGAGTATTTCTATTGCCCCGGGTTATCTTCATTATAGTACCTAAAAATGATAGTACTTCTATCACCAATGAATGTTCTAGGGAGGTAGCAAAGATGTTGGACTAGGGTGAGTCTAAGATGCCTTCATAAAAATGTGCTCCATCAACACTCCCATATTTCTTCCCCTTTGCCTCTGCATCAACCCAGCTATCTTTGGAAAAAAAATAAAAAAGGAAAAAATCGATGGAACTGCTTTCAGCACTGAACTACAACTTCCCTGGAGTACAGAGATTGACAGAATTGTTAGATTTCTAAACTTGTTAGTAACAAAGTAGCTGATTCACATTTCACTAGAAACGTGTATTTTCTGATAGCTTTGCTACTGCCATAGAAGTATCGTTCTGCATGAAAACACACTTCCATGCCTCTGCAAAAGCCACATTCCTAAGTCCCACAAACGAGGAAGTCCTCAGTATCTATTCATTCTTTCAGATTAGAGAATGAAGAGGACACCAGGAAACCACTTCTTTAAGGTAATACTGGTAGAACACTGTTTTCATCAAAAAAAACCAGCCAGACTTTGCAGAGACAGCAGTGAAACAGCACAAGGTCAATAAGCGGCCGTGTTGATGCTTTGCAATTGTAAGTTTAAACACCCACAGCCATGGCCCAGCTCAAACAAAGCATGTCCGTGCGGCACTCTCCATAGAGCTTCCAGCAATTCCAGTTGCCTGTATCAGTGCTAGACGTATCGTCCCATCCTTTAATCCCTCACATCACCCAGTTTGTTGTGGTACAGGACAACAGAAACAGTATTTCAAAAGGCTGAGGAGAAATCTCACCTGCAGAGGCACCAGAGGACAAACCCAAGTCCACAGTAGGGGTCCAAGCAGATCGCGACTTCTCTGGAGGGATAAAGCTCACACTGCAGCTTAATAGAACGACAAAAGGCACTAGTGGCTGCATGAGACATCTGAAAGACAACAGCAAAGTAATTAAAATGATCGACTATGTCATTTGAAAAGCTCACTCCCAAACTGTGCCAAGTGCTTACATCAGTTACAGGATAAAGAAAACAAATAAATATTGACTCTGTGCTCAGTGTAAACACACGTGTAATTTATATCTAAGAAAACATAATTTTCCTTCCAGAGGGCATCCAAATAACCGTGAAAAGGGAGGGGAGACAGAATGAATGATACGTTTGAAGTGATTTAGGGAAAAAGCTACGAGTGGTTTAAAGATGTGCTCCAAGCTGTATGCAGAGCTAATGATAACAAGCTAAACTTCCTGGAAGAACAAAGGAATGAACGACTGCAGGATATGAATGAAGTATTTTGTTGATTAGTAACACATTTCTAAGTACATATTTCTTAATACAATAAATAAGAAAGGCCAATGCACTTTTCAAATCAAAGAGGATTTTGCACGCAAATGGCACTAAGGACCTAATCACTCAGTGATAAAGATCCCTAATAAACATCATAAAGTTTCTGTAAAGTGTCTTTATGTTATCCAGCTTCCAGTTGAGAAATTGCCTGTTAAAATCTTGGTAAGAAAGCACTCAGAGATAAAACAAGCAGGAAGTAGAAACAAAAGTCCTGATCAAAAGGACATTATTCTAATTTTTTTTCTGAGTGTTAGGATGTTTCTCACACTCACCCATCCTGGCTTAGATGTTCTGACTACAATGGGAACAGAATTACATCTTTTAATCTCTGTCCTCTTTGTTAATAACAAGAAAGCTACCTGTTTTGGAAATACAGCCTGGAAAGGATTTAATTCATCTAACCTTTGATCTCTGCCACAAACTGAGCTAGTTGCCTTATATACTCTGGGAGTCAATGGAGAGGAACAGGCACTTGGAAGGTAAAATTTATTTGATCTTAAAGTAAACAGGGGAATAAAGCTCCCGAAGTGACCTTTTCTCCATTGCCAATGAGCCGTAATTGAGGCTGGACATGGTCCAAGTGATGCAAAAGGATCAGCTCAGAACAGGTGTCCACACGGTGATCGCCTGCAGTTTGCAGAAATTAATTCTGCTCTAGCTAAATCAAGACCACTTTTTCACACAGAACTGAGCTCTATAGGTCTAGAACTGGTGTTATTGTGAATTTTTACACCATACTAGGTGCAAGCTAGTGAAAAGTTAAGAGTACATGTAAGTAGAATCTACTACTTCCAAAGTGATGACAAATGTTTATCAACTTCTCAGAAGCCACATACATTGCTTAGTCATTTTTTTAATTTAACACCACTGCACTATGAATATAAGCCTTGTGGCCTCTTATGATCCTTTTATAATTAATTAATCACTAGTGATGATCTAGTAAATGGTAACTGTTTACGTAAGCTCATTCAGTCAGTGACCTGGAGGCTTTGTGACCCAGATTTCACAGGCTAATCAAGAATTCCTTGATGGATTTATCTGGATTTCCCTTTAGCCACATTAAAACCAGGTTCATTGACTTGTCCTGACTTTTGACTGTCTTTGAAGCTTTTCAAATCCTGACTTTGCATGGTTAGTAGCCATTTCTGCAAGTCAGATAAGGTAAGAATTCAGACCTGATTTAGTACGGATGACTGCATCTGAAACAGTCATTTACAGCTCGGTTTAGACGAAATGAAGACTTACGTGACATTCACCCCATTCAAAAATAGACGTTTCAGATAAGTCGGATAAATTACATCCTAAAATTCCCTGCTTCTCTCTGTGGATTATTGAGGAGCCCAAGGACTAGTCCACAATCTTTAGGCATTGTAGCTATTTCAAGTTAGATGAAATGAATCTTCCGTGAGTGTCCAATATGTGACCATCAGCCAGCTCAGCCACTTAACAATCAGTTGACCTCGGGTTGGTCACTTCATTGCTCTGTCCTTCAGACTGTCCATCTGAAAAAATTATGGTTTCTGTGTTTGTAAAGTATGCTGGCAACTTCTGAAAATGGATGGATCGTGCCGAAGAGTATGAAGAATTCAATACAGGCTGTACATCAGCAGAGATTGCTGAACCAATCATAATCCTTGGATATGCAACAGGTAAGACTAAGGAAGTAACAGGTAAAATTGAGACAGTGATTTTGCTTCTGTCTGCGTGGTGGTAAAACCAGCACTGGAATAATACATAAGTATAGCAGCTAGTTAAAATAGTTCTGATGAATTGTGGCTAGAGGGCTGGGGAAAACGGCAGACTAGAGATTTTAAGAATTGAGATGCTTGAACTTATCAAATAAACCCATCATCGAATTTTTTGCTGCTTACTCTAGTATTGTACTAGGTGAACATACCACAGATATCTGGAGTTCCCTTAATTGCAATAAAAAGAGAATATTGAAAACCAGTACCCAGTGGCTGGGTTGCAATAAGGAAGAAACAATGCGTGGGCACTGGAACTAGTAGAAAAAGGATGACTGAGTCCTATTTTCTTCATAAAATGTAAATAATAGATGCATTAGTTGAAGACTGCTCCAGCCAGACAAACTAGTGGGTTCCCCAATTCAAGCCTTGTGCTCCCCAATTCAGGAGAGACAGGGGCCTACTGGAGAGAGACCAATGGAGAGCTACGAGGGTGATAAAGGGACTTGAACATCTCTCCTGTGAAGAGAGACTGAGAGAACTGGGGCTGTTTAGCCTTGAAGGGAGACGGCTGAGAGGGCACCTTATTAACGTACACAAATGTCTGAGGGGTGGGTGTCAAGAGGAAGGGGACAATCTCAGTCAGTTGAGTGTGATGCTAACAGCGCCAAGGTTGCAGATTCAATTCCCGTCCGGTCCCCATGTGTTGCCTGATCTGATCTAGTCAACAGGTGGTGTCCCTGGTGACAGTCAGGGAGGCTGGATTAAAATGATCTCTAGAGGTCCCTTCCAATCTCAAACATTCTATGACTCTACGATCTGCAGGTGTATTGGAACAAAATTTTTAGTCTGAGGAGGAGCAGAGGAGCTAAACTTGCCACCCACAGTACTATGGTGAATATATAATAATTAATTTAATGTGAATGGAATCAAATAATGACTGGAAGAGAGGAATCAATCTGATTTCTATTAGCAAAAATCAAGAGAAGTTACAGATCAGGAGTAGCATACCACCTGCCAGCCAGGTGTGACAGTAGGAATGCCAGCTTTAACAAGAAGTCCTTACCTTTACCCCTGCTAGCATGCCAGTTGTGGAGACACTGAAGTCAAGGTAAGCAAGCGTTTCAGGGTTAGAAGGTTTGTAGATCTGTGCAGGTCGCTTCTTTGGCAAATCGTCTAGTGAAAACAGAGAAAGAAAATGCGTGTGTCTTACTCCCATGACAGACAGATCTCTGAGTACTCAACAAATACAGCGGTAAAAGAAAACGCGGAGGTCTCTTAGCCTCTGTGCTCACCTGTATCTAGTACCGGAGGCCACGTTCTGACATCCACTGCTGCTGCCGCCTCTCGTGACCGTAACAATTTACATATTAATTGTGTAGTCATTAAGCAGGCAGAGCGGCTCACCTAGGAATTTAAGAAATAAATAACAACACAAAGGGATACTGATTAATTCTCCCATGAAAATGAGCACGACCCTGATTTATTTTCTGCCAGAACAGGACACAGGTATATTAGTCTTTTTTTCCAATCATGAGGTGGAAAGACACACAAAAAATGCAGCTCACAAAGCAGAGTCACGTGAGTTTTACAAATTATGTGAAAATAGCACTTTGAGAAGAGTGCTGTAATTAAACTAAAGGTACTTTAATCGTTAGACTTCTCCAACACATTATATCAGTTATCAACCCAGAATGCCAGTACAGAAGACAGTGACCAAAACATTTCCTATGTGATGGTAATACATCTTTGTTTATAAACAACAGTTTCACATAACCCAAAACTTAGCCTGACAATTATATAAATAATTTGACTATCTTAAGTCCTTTTACATTAGCCATATATTTCTAATTCCCGTGATAATCCACTGGTAACTTGTCTGATATCAGCAAGAGTAGCTCTAGACCAGAAATTGTGCAAGCTGCACTAAGAAATGAAATGGTGAGTTTACTGCAAATACCATCGGCACTGGAATTCAGATGACACACGCTGAAGGTGTTATCCTTTTCGAGTTGCTATTTTTAAAAATTTGTAAGTAGCAACTACAAGAATATTTCTTACTGATTACAATGGATTTAAATAAGGAACCATTCAGACAAACATAAATATGTTAAGCACTGAAGATTGTACAGACGAAAAACTAAAAAGGCACTATCATTTGTCTTCTTTGAGAATCTGTGCAAATATTGCCAAGAGTATTTTTTTACATGAGGAATCCAAAATATTTAATTATACACTGAATTTCCAATGCAATATTTGCACAGATTCTCAAAATTCTGGAAGACAAATGATGCTGTCTTTTACTAAGGAAATCTGTATGCATACATACACTAAATTCTACCACTGAGCAGAAGAGATCAGCTTCTGTTGACAGTAAACTCATGGAGGGCAACTTTACAGAGCACATGAAGAAATTGTAAGCATACAAGCACTGACTCAAGCTCTGCTAACTTCCTCTAACTTCAGGATTGGGATTACCTACATATTTCAAGCTAAATGTGAAGACAAATGAAGATACTACAGCATCCCTCAATCCAATCATGTCACAGTCATGGCAAGGCAAGGTTATTCTTACATGGCTAATCTTAAATCTATGGAAATCTTGATTTGGGATACAGTGAAGCCATAAAACAAGAAGAAATTTCAAGAGGTAGTTGTTACTAGCCCTCTCAGGAATTATATTATGTTGAAGATCAGGAGCTTCACTAAAATATAGAATGTCAAGGTCTGGAGAACAGCAAATCCAAGATGAACACATAGGGATGGTGGGAAGGACAAAGAAGACATGTTAGCTACAGGTTATCAACTGCTTGAGATGGGGCTCAGTAATGTTCAGTTAGAAGTTCATCACCAAAACACAATCATGTAGGCCAAATTTTGCTCAGAAGTCATTCTTACTGCCTTCAAAAGTCACCGTGTAGACATACAGCGTGCCAGGACAGGCTTTGACCTCATTACATTAGGAAATTTGTACAACTGCATTGGCAATGAAGGAACAGCCTCAATACATAAATTTCTACAAACTTGTGTCGCTGTAAAAACTAAAGAAAATCCGGTATAAAACAGAGCTGAGAGGCTTCTAAGTCAAACTGGCATTAACATGGTTAATAAATTTCAACACTTTATTTGAAGTTAGTCTATTGAAGGGACAATGATTACAAGTCAGCTTAAATCTGTCACGAAACCAAACATCTAGTCTGGCTATTAAACATCAAGGGAAAATCAACACATTTTACATCACTTCTGTAATTTTAACAACTGATGTTTAAACTCATGAGTACCAAAACATTATATAAGGAGAGCCTGAAGACTATAGGACGATTTCTCATACTCCTACTGATACTTGATTGCATCAAGATGTCACAAGGAAAGCCACAATTTATAACTCTTTACTACTTATTACTTGAAAATACCACTTTTGTTTCAGCTTGCTTTTTCAGAGACTCAAATTTCCAATCAATAGGTTAGAAACCATCAGATGTAAAAGGCTATCTCTTTGTAGCCATTTTACTTCCCTCAGTAACAAGGACAATACAGTTACTTACGTGCAATAAAGACCAAACATTATTAGATAAAGCCAAAATACCAAAAGAAAGCACTGAATGAAAGAGTCTGAGTAACACTTCTCTAGGCGAAACAAAGTACAGACCAACATCTTCACAACAGGACTTTGAAATTGCTTCAAACTGCGAAACAATTAGATGTACAGAGCTGTGCACAAATCACCATCAGGTCAAGCTAAGCTTTCCGTTGGGATTTTTCTCAATAGTCAGTGTAGCATTGCCAGGAGAAGAATCCTACCATTCCTGGCATAGAGCTAAATTCAAGAAAGCACTTCAAATATATTTCTTGAAAGCAGTAGCATAACTGTGGCAAAATGTGACAGGGGAAGTCAGAAGGTTGTGTGCTGTCAAGCAGCGTTGACTCTGCAACACAACAAAGTCCTGAACCTTTGGAAAGAATACAACTCTTCAACCTACACCGCCACTTGCTGAAGTTACCATTCCTAAAGACGGTGCAAATCCATTGCCCGTTTAATCTACTTGTGCAATTTCATGTGTCTGCTCACCTCCACAATCATCTTCACTGTAGGTAACGTGGTAGCTATGTTCTGGGGATGTGGAGGTCGAACTGTTATTGGCACACAGCCTGCATACAGGCATCCGTAAAATGCGGCAATCAGGTCTATTCCTGCATGAAGAACAAAACAAAAAATCCTCTCCTGAAAATCAAATCGTTTAATCACAGACACCTATGTCAGCACAAATATTACTTGCAACTCAACTCGGAAGGTTAAATGATGGACTAAGCCCTTTAACAGACTTCTTTTTTCAGCCCCTTGTCAGTATTTGTTCAGCTTCACTGATTCTTTTCAATTGTACTGTTCTGAGCATGAAAAACCAAAGGCAACACACAAAGCTGTGGCCAGATACCATCATTTAGGTGAAATATGCTTTTATGATCAGGAACTAACCTGTTTCTATCAGCTGCAGAAAACACATCTGGAGGATTCCTTAAATATTGTCTTTCTCGTGTCATTTTTAACCTCAGATATGCAGTGTTGATATATCTACTTGAAATTTTACAGTAAAAAAAGGGTGTCATGATTTTGAAATCCTGCTTCTAACATGAAATCAGGGGTTATTCTATATAAATATTGATTGCAGGCAACAGATTGCAGACAGCACACTTCAAGATATCTAAGGAGACTGAACAGACAACAGGACAAATATCACAGAATCACAGAATCATTGAGGTTGGAAAAGACCTCTGACATCATCAAGTCCAGCCAAGATCTCCTGAATCCTGTTGTCTGATAGCTCTCTAGTGCTGTACACAGGCTGTGATAAGACAAAAACTGGGGTTACAGTATCACAGTATGCTAGGGATTGGAAGGGACCTCAAAAGATCATCTAGTCCAATCCCCCTGCCAGAGCAGGAACACCTAGATAATGTTACACAGGAAGGTGTCCAGGCAGGTTTTGAATGTCTCCAGAGAAGGTGACTCTACAACCTCTCTGGGTTGTTTTATTCTTTCAGTGAAAAAGGATCTGCAGTAGTGGTAGGTTATTGTTCCTTCAGTAAAATGTGTTATTCATGGGAAGTGAAATACAGAAAATAAAATGTTACATTTATAATACCAGTCTTCCATTGTAGAAGAGGTTTTCTCATATTAACCACTGAGAAATTACTCCTATAAGTGTCAAACAAGGGTTAACACAAGCTTAAAAGCTCTTACTTAAAGGGATGAAAATCCAAGCCAAAGAGAGCTGGCTAGATTAAAGATCTATTGAGGAAATAGTGACTATAATTTGGTATTTCTTAATCATATGCTATTTATTCATCATATTTATACTCTAAAAACATGGATTACTTCCTAGATATTGCTCATAAAAGGCAGCACTTCCAAGAGGGAATTCAACAGGTGAATCTAAGAACGCTCAGCAGATGCAATATTTTAGCAGAACTGTGTGCTCATAAAATAGTATATTTCTAGCAAATTAAAACTGTTTGTAAGAGACAGGTTTTAAAAACACAGGTTAATCTTAAATTGAACTCAAAGGAACAGTATCTACGCGTATACGCAAAGAGAAATTCTCTTAACTATCTTCGATCCCCTTTGAAAAGTACATAAGGCAATTATTTTGTGTTTTGCCAATTAACAAGGTTTCCAGGTCGGTAACACCACCAACACAGTGGGACCTACCAAGGTACCAGACACAGTAGTTCTTTACCTGGCGGGTAAACCAAAGCCACGTGGTCTCCGTCTTGTAAATGTCCCCTTTCCATCAGCATGACAGCTATCTTCTCAGCGCGTTTATGCAGCTGGACACATGTTAGCGAGTTGGCTATTGTTCCCTGCACAGGAAGAAGGATAAATGTCACAGAGGATAATGCAACGTGCTGAACCTCTTTTTCCCTCTGCACCTTAGAAATTACTGGACCAGGTCCAGCCACAATATGTCATGCAATGAATTTAAATACAGAAACCTTCAGCCTTAAGCCAAACTGTAGTTGGAAGAGTAAAAAAATATGTCTGTAAAGGAGAGGAATGTCCTCTTTGCCTTTCTCTGTACCTTCTGCCCTCAACAATGTTTTGGTTCTAACCAAGGGAGAACAGTAGTACGCTAACACCCAGGTAACCTGTACTTCCCTTGCTATGCAGGCAGCATTTCTGCCACAGCCAGGAAAGTGCCTTTATGGTCTCCACAACAATCTGGAGAATCTGTGGAGAGTAATCCTGAAAATTGCACTTTGCCGTCTGTATGCTGGAGAGAAGCCAAACGGCACAGCAGAAATAGTTTGAAAGACAAGAGACAAAAGACACAGGAGAAAATAATGCTTTGTGACAGGGAAAAGAACTAGCCTGGAACAAAAGCTAAGCACATGCATGTAAATGAAATAAGAAAGGCATTTGTTGAATTTGAGCAACTCTGGTTAGCATGAAATAAAAAAAAAAAAAGTGATGATACGCTTCAGTTTAGCTTTTTGAAGCACTTCAAACAGTGCCAATCCCCAAATTATCAAACCGATGCAGTCTTTTAAACTGGATGAGTGTTACGATTCTTGCATTTCCTAAATTTATCTGTGTATATATGCACACACACAAAGGCACATTTAGAGAAATATGTACATTTGATCACAAAGTTCACTACCACAGCTGACACCTCAGAAGAGAAGTCTAAAAATGACTGTGAAAGACAGATTGACTGTGCCGAGAGCTGATCTGGCCAGGGATAGATAAAGGGACAGAGCAGTACAGGGAGGGCTGCATCTCTGCTTGTGCACTGTGCTGTGAAAAAAAGAGGATTTCAGCCTCCAGTACTGCTATGCTATATGTGGAACCTATCACAAGCACTAAGTTCACTTAAAAATAGGGAGTCTGAAAAAAGTGGAGGGAAAAAGGTAAGAATATATATATATGTACCTAAAAAGAACAATGGTATCAAAAATGCAATAAAAAATATTGTACCACTATCATTATTGAGACAGAAAGCAAGAAGGTCTACTGTTTTAAAGAAATACTCTTCACACTGTGTTTTAACAAGGCAAGGAATAATAAGCATCTAGCCTAATTGCTACCACCATTCCTCACACAACAGCAGTATTTATTGACTGCAAACTTCCGAGAGGAGAGTGCAGTTTGATAAAGGTTTAGCACTGGAAATAGTGGCATGTTACCAGGCATCACTTGGCATTTATGAACCTTATAATAAACTGTCAACAAAGAGGACAACCTAGCTGAAAATCAAAAGGACAAAGACCGGGCTTAGCATTCCTTTTCACCATCTTTAGCAACCATACTTACTGAAATGCACTTCAGGCAATTTTAATCAGTCTTCTGAACAACTTGAAGACTATTTCACTATGAAAGCTTCCTCTAAAGACATGTGCAATTATAAGGATGCTAGTCCAGAGCTGGCTTCTGTCTGTCCAGCCCCAAATATGGCCAAAGTGACCTGAGGTCTGGGTGTCTTTGTCACTGCAGACCTGCCAGCGGGAATATGTTTAAACTCTTCAGTACTTCTTTCAAGAGACTGTCTGTTTGTAAAGACGTGATAAGAAGGACCCTTTATGTACCCCCCATGTACAGCAGAAGCACAGGCCACACTGACACAGAAAGGGAACTTCTGCAATCATGTAGATTCATGCAAAACCTGTTTACATGTAAGACTTCTGGCACTTGCTGCACATGTAGCAGCAGTGAGTGTTTATATGAATCGCAGGGAAGAGGCATCCTGCTGTTGAACAAGATCTCTGGCAAGCACCAAGCAACTATTCCCTTTTGGGTCTTTTGTACGAGGTGTCTTGCAATGGTAAGGTGTTGCAATCTGTCATGACCCATGCTAAAAAAAATGCACTGCGCTAATTTTGAAATATTTCAAATGCTCAAAATGCTTGGGTTACAGGAAAACACTAATCTCAGTGGATTTCTATTAGTCATCCACTGCAAGATGCCTGCCTTTTAGAACAAAGTGTACAGACAACACACAAGGAAGACAAAAAGAGAAAAGTTACAAACCAGAACTAAAATTCAAGATGGCTAATAAAACTTGCCCAGGCTGAACCCCCCCAAACCTGTCACTCTTTTCCATAAAACATTAAATCTCTCCAGAAAGCATTTACATCTCTCAAACAAAGTTCATATGGTAACTCCACACTGAGAGTAGTAGAGTACTGAATTTCAGCCTTCAACTATTTTTCACTTCTGTGGAACAACAAACTACTTTGGTAATCCTTGTTTTGCACATTGTGTCCTTCCCTCCCACTGAATGAACCCTCCCGCCAGCATGAGAAGTCTGGCTTTATTTAGAGCTCAAAAGCAACAGCCTGTGAGGAGGAGATGGGACAGTCCATGTCACTCCTCTTTCTCACAACGTCTTTGCTCCTTACTTACAGGACAGAACAATGCACTATGTTAGTGGTGTAATACTGAATCTATAAACAGCACTGCCTCTCAAGTTTTCTACTTTGCCACTATTATCTGTCAAGTTCCACATATTCACATAATATTAGCCATATTCACATAATATTAGCTATTAAACTGAATTTTAAAAAGGTTATTTAATGACTTGCTGGTAGCCTCAAACTGAACTTTAGTACCAGCACTATAATATGGGCTGGGGAAGCATACCCTGTAAACACAGTAAGTGATAATTTCACAGAGGTTCACAAACTACCTGGAGTTAAGAACCCACTCAAGCTGTATAGGGACCCCATGGGCTGAGTCAGCACCAGCCACTCCAGGTAGCCCGGGACAATAGCACTGGTCCAGGCCCTTTCTCTCCTGGAGACCTTCACACACCACATACGTTTCCCAGTTCTGACAGATGTGTCTAGATGTACTGTGGTGGGATGGTGTGAAATCAGACATTCATTCTCCACAGTGGTCTTGGGAATTAATGGTTTGTCATTGACAATCAACTGGGAAGGGTGTAATCATCCACTCTTAGTAGAGGCAGGTTCTGCATCATGTAGCATGTATTAATTCATTTTTGAGAATAGATGAGATGCCAGGATGGCACCTCGAGTAGGCTATGCAGAGAGACTTATTAACGATCCTTTGCAGACCTGGCTGAAATCTTGACATACATCTTTTCTTCATCTCCTTTATCCATTTTCACACCTTCCCCAGATGGTCTAGTCTCAAACCCAACAATTATTATGTTATTTATGAAAAGCACTTTAATTTTGCCAAACCTGTGCTTTTCAAATTGGAAATCAGGATGGTAAGCAGTATTAAATACTACTCTTTGGTACAGTAACAATCAGCACTGACATAGATTTGCAGTGTCAGCCCACCCGCAACATATATGTGGTGGAAAAAGAAATGAGAAATTTGTAAGGCACGTCGTCTGATACAAAAGCAATCTATATTTTGACAACTGTTCCCTTTCTGCTTCAGTGAACATTAACTATAGTAGCTTAGTATTAATGGGAAAAGAAACAGAAAGGTTGCGTTCAGCCACAGCACGAGCAGGTGGAGCTGAAATACCAGTGTGTCACTTTCCAGATCACAGCCTGTCAGAGCGATGGCCCGAGCTTCTTACCCTGCAGTTAAGTAGAGTGTAAAGCACATGGTCAGGAGTTGTCTGAGCTCTCCACTGCAACACTTCCGAGAGGAAGAGGAACTAAAATAAAGCAGAGCAATAGTCATGACACTAAATAAATTTTTGGCTTTAGAAAAGCAGATAACTAATTTTGCCAGTTTAGCTACATCTGTCTTATTTATATGCCACATTTTACATCAATATCCAAAAGCACTAAACATGAATTAGTTCTCTTGTCATCACACAAGGTGCTCTTGTCATCAGCACAAGGTGCTTTTGCATGGTACGAGTGGTCTCTCTGAAAGAGAAACAACTGCTGGAATTACGAAATATTACTACATATACTTTCAAAGCAATAAAACAGTTCTTACTAATCTCCTGAATTTAAGCACAATTTTATTTCTTTAGCTTCCTCTCTTCCTTTCTGTTATAAATATTTAAATATTTATATAGCTTAAAACTTGCTAATTTAATTACTCACATAAGCCTCCAAAAGAGCTTAACTTTACAGGATCAAAAGAACAGTCATGTTTATTATTGTTGTCCCATGTAAATTCATAAAATAAATTTGTACAAACGAAATGCACTTAATACTCCTCATGTCTATTTCATCGTTATCTGTAAGTGGGGTTCTGAAATACTTTAATGTGCATTAAAAAAAAAAAGCCATCAATCAATTCTGCAATACTAGTACTACTACTACTAATAACACAATCTACATACTAAGTGTGCTGATGCTATCTAGCAAAATATAAGCCATATCAGAAAAAAATAGATTACCTTTCTGGCTTGGTCGTTATCTTCTATTTGCCCCAAATCTCTACCACTGGCCTGTGCAATTCTTTTTCCAGAGACCAAGTTCCCCACCATCACAGAGGCAGGGCCAATTTCTAGAATAAAGCAGAAATGCGCTAAGTGCAATAAAAATGCTTTTCTTGTAACTTTTCATTTCTTTTGCATTACATGGTATTTTCGTCATTGTTCTCCCCAACACCAAACCTTGAGCCCACTTCTTGGTAAAAAACTTTGGCTGATGGACCAGGAGTAGCTGGAAGATACGCAGGCATGGATTCATCCCCTCTAAACACATCTAACTGAGTAGCCCATTTAGCTCAGGCTTCCTACAGCCAGAGACACATCACATCTTTGGAAAACTCAGCTCCTAAGTTAGGCAGGTACATTCAGGTGCCTGCAACTAGATGAGATGTATCCAGGCTTCAGGGACAATGTTACGATTTCTCTCTTCTGTTCCCTGGGCTGAGTTGTGTCTGTAGTAGCAATTCTGTAACACTACAGACATGAAATGACAAAGATTAAAAAGGCAGATGGTGCATATGATAAAATATAGGCAAGTCAATTAACACAGGGTAGAGATTGAAGAAAAATAACTTGACTTTACAGGAAAGAAGATGTTATGGCTGACACTTCTCCATGAGGCAGATTTCACTGATGTTTTGTTGCTGCCATTAGGAAAAACACCTGTCTTGCAGATACCGTTTATGCTCCTGCCAACATTTGTTTTCTGCTTCTCTAGCATGAGTTACTGATAAACAGCGACTGATGTCAGGCTTTACTTCTAGTCTATGAAGTCCAGGCTTTGCCTCAGTGAGGGTACATGGTATAAGTATCAAAATACCAGATGTGTAAGTAACCAGATAATGGCAATAAACAACATCTCCACACTACTCTGCTTCAAAAACATGAAAGCAGTATCTCTGGGTGTGTCACAACTATGCAAAACAGAAGAACGTGATGCTTTTGGTTTGGTTTCTGTGTTCCTGGTATTGCTTTTACCATAGCGATATATAATGTGATATATAATGTGATATATATAATGCATCTATCAGTGATCCTAATTCTGCACTGATCCTAATTCAGGGATTACTTTGCAAAGCAGCAACAAGGAAATGCCCCAGTGAGCACTGCAGTTAAAGGCTTCATCGCTTTAGTTTAGTTAGTGGAATTCACTCTTAACCTCTGACATTCCCAGTATCTGTAAACTGCGACTATGGTTTTGATTTCTGAAACATTCATCCAAAGGTTTTAAATAAAGAAACAAGTTGATAGTTCTGGCAAATTTGAAGTGAAATCATGATGGACAGTCCCCATATTCCAGATCCAGAGGGAATAATACTTCATATTCCAAGCTGGTTTTCAAAGCGGAGAGTAATCAACAGTTTGTCTAATATAGTTGAATGCAGGTCTTAAGCCTGAGGCTACAGATCCAGAAATTTTTGAAATCAACCTAATTCATGAGCACTAAAATCTACAACTAGATTCAAAGTCAAAAGTGTGCTAAAATTTGCTTAGTCATTGGGAATGAGTAACCAGTGACTGGACTACAGCAGGCTACAAGAGCTTCCTCAGTCTTGAGTCAGTGCCTCGTTGTACCATTTCATTCATTATTCTTCATGAAGTGTGTCAGAACTTCTGAAAAAACATCTTAAAACTAGTTAGGGCTTTCCCTCAAATACAACTTCTGCAAGAATAATCCAGAACCTCCCTACTCAGGTAAAACCCCTTATCCTCATTCTTGGATTTCATTTATTCACGACCAGTTTTAAAGTAGTTACTCTTCTTCCAACACTGTTATTCAGTGTCAACAGCCCTCCTCCTCTCTATTTCTACTTTACAAACTCAGCCTTCAAATAAGCCAAGATTCTATCTTTCTTTGTTTCGGTCTCAGCCAATCCTCTTTAAACATAACTAACAAGGAATTTACAAAGAACTCCAGATGTGGTGCCAGCAGTGTCTCGTAGAGGGATAAATATGTCTTCATCTTTATTGAACTTACGATTTTTGCAGCATTTTTCCTTGCACTCTTTGTGAAGGTACCTCCAGCTTCTGCCAAAACCAATGATGTCCTTAACACACTTGCAACATTTAAGAGGAACAGCAGATCAAACTGACTTGCACCTGCATTAACAGTCACCTGACTTCGCTCCATACAGTACGATGAACTCACAGCATTAACTCACGGTCCCTTTGCCTCCACTCATCTTACCTGGTTGTTTTTGCCTTGGTTTAGGCAGGTTTGTCACACATGTGTGGGGACACATCAGCACGTTACAAGGATGCAAGGATCCTTCCAAGAAGAGCTGTTTGGTTTCTGACAGGTGTATTCCTCCCAGCGGTGTCTTGGGAAGCGTGTTTGCTGGTACGAGAGCTAAACAGTAGACTCCCACTTGATGAATACTATCAATAGCCTAAAAAAGGCAGGAAGTCGAATTTAATGAAAGGCTAATTTGTCATCATTCTAATAAGCACATGTTGTAACGAGTTACTGCATAAAACAACCCTAATAATTAACTGGCAATGGAAAGACACTTCAGCAACATCAGTGATAAGGAGCATCTTTTCACTGGGAACAGGTGGAGGGAAATGTAACACTGACGTTATTACATTCATTTCAGAAGATAAAAAAAGCCAACAAAAACCTGGTGATAAATACACAGAAATCTGTTCAGAAATGCTACCTAGGCATCTCTCTCAGGCACATGTTAGTAGCACGTATCTTGGAGACTTACTACAAAGACAGGCTGGCAACCCATGTGAAACTGATTTTAACTTGTGCACTTTCCAGAATTAAAGTTCAAAGGATTCTTTTAACATCCAGTCCACCTCGCAGAGCAAACCAAAATTTCAGAGGTTACATGTATATCATCATATACCTACTGATGTATGTAGCTTGTGAATTTGAACTTTTTCTTCTAAGATAATAACTGTTTCACTCCATGATTACTGCATAAAAGACTGTCAGGCACGAATACGAAATGAGAACAATATAAGGGAAAGCTATGAAACTATCCACTTGAAAAGAAATCTGTTGAAAGAACACTTGAAAAATAAGCATCTTTGAACCCTATAGTAACAAGCTCACTGTCTCACAAGTGGAGTAAAATGCATCACTTTCAAGAAATCTATAATGTAGAGCATCTATGTAATTTATTTAGGTAAACATAAATAAGCATGCACTTAGATTTTAAATCTGTACACATCTTAACTAATTATTTTCCTTACACTGGCAACAAAAATTGCAGCGAATTAGAAAAACAACTTCAGACATCCATGCAGACCAAGAAACAAACTACAGACAGCATCTCTAATGAGTAATAAAATGTTCAAAAATACATTTTACTTAACTTGCATTTTAATTTTTAACTGTGAGAAATGCAAACACATACATCTGTTGCCTTGAAGATACAATCCATACTCTGAGAATCAAATAATCATTTCTAGTTATGTACTGAAGTGTTGACCAGTAAATTACTGATTACTTCTACAGAAACTCGAAGCAATGCTTTGCTTTTGGCATGTTTGCTTCATTTTTTATTGATTTGATCACAAAATTTCATAAGAAAGAATAATAAAGCAGATATTAATTCTACAAACACTGCAGTTTTAGCAGTGGTAGATCTCACTGTAGTATTGAGAGACCTTGTTACTGATCTGCAGACACCATACCTAAAAGATCAGTAATAGCAAAATATATATGGACAGGCAGCACACAATGCCTCATGTTTCTGGCAGAAACTATCATAACTTCCTAATGATAATGTTATTTGTAGGTTCTGAAAAGCTGTAGTAAATCATGGGATCCTCACCTGACACCAGCTTGAAGGAAAACTGTTACAGGGCAGGTAACCAGGCCATGTAGGGCAGGGCTGGCCCAGGACAGCACACACAGGGTGTCAGAAGAGTCTCACAAATATCATGAGAAATGTGCAGCAATTTAGTGTGATATTGTTATGTTGCTCCTCAGTAGTCGATGACTCAGATAAAACTGGTCACCACTTCCTGACATCTGTCACTAAAACTATGACTGGGAAGGAGGCACAAAACACCCCACATGTTCTTGGCTTCTGTCCTCCATCTTCACTCTCAGCTGAAGCGGAACCAGAAACATCTCGTTCACATAGGGACGTGTGCCAGACTTGCAGACTTCACACATGGGTGATGAAAGCAGCCACACATATGTGTACTTTGATACATGGCTTGCTGTTCTCAGGCACTGCCGTGACTCCATCACACTCACAATAACAGGATTGACTTTTGGCAGGAGTAACTTGACAGAGGACTCCCACAGTGTTCAGTACTGAATTCTACTGGTTATGATGGTGTAAGACATGATTTCAGTAAAAGTCACAAAAATGCTCAGCTGACAAAACAGGAGAAGCAATAAATGCAGAATTTCAACCTTTTCTTCAAGAGCTTGCTACTTGATATCGATGTATGGGCCTTTCCTTCTACAACAGTTGCCCCAGGTGCTACGAGGTGCTTCAAAGGCTTTCTGTGTGAGGGATAAGCTAGAGGTTCTAGCTTGGAAAGTGGAAGTAACAGGTGACCAGCTGTAGACAGAGCTGAGACTTAGTTTGACTACATCTCCATTAAACCTATTGCTTTTGAGCGAGGATAGGCTTAACCATGGAGGTGGAGGAGATAGAAGATGACTGCTGTCTAAAGGATCTAATGTTTTGTGGGTGGACATTAGAGCTGAAAAAGCTTTGATTAAGGTAATGATACTGCCTTAAATTTGACTGCTGTGTGTAAGGAGAAGATCAGATTTTTTTAGTATTCAGTAGCTTCTGCCTTTTGGTCACGCTGTCAAACACCACCATTAAGGTGTGTTTCATCACAATGCTCTGTGCCTTGCCTGATCCAAAGAGCTGGAATGGTATTCCTTCCAATAGGTGTCCTCCATGCAGATAACCTCACTGCAGATACTTAGATCTGAGCTAATCAACTGCTTTATTTCAGTGGAAAGAAATCAGCATTTTTAGGCTGTGTTTCATTAATTTAATTTATCAACATGGTGCACTAGAAACACGTAATTCTCTCCCACTGATTAAAATACAAAACAAATCTGGAGATCTAGCTCAGATACATACATCTACTTTTCATGAGGTCAACTACATATCAGTGCCAGAAACTGTTTAGTAAGAGACTTTGGTAGGTTTTGACAGTAGAGTATATAATACGTTAATTCATTACCCCTTTAAAGTAATGAATGACTATACCCTTACAAATCATATGCTGCTCTCTCCTTGCTATTATTTACTTCAATTTATCCTTGTTTTCTTACAGCATTTTGAATAGGAAAAGGATCACTCTCAGGATGTGTGGCCCAGATAGGAAGTGTAACTCAAAAGAATCTAATCTGTGGTCATTAGAGCAAGCACAACTGCAGGTAGACTTAAAATTACTCAAAACCAAATGTCAGTTACCTTGGGGGCCTGAAAGATCAATAAAAAGAGTACAAAGCAGCAAAAAAATAGCTTCCAAATGTACATAAAGAGCATTACCTGGAGAACTCTACTCATCCATTGAAAACTGTCTTCCTCTGTGGAATCTGGCCTTTGCTCAGCAACAATCACTATCCTTTCATCATGCAGCACGCTCACTGAAAACACTGCTATTCTATAAAAGAGAAGGAGAGAAGAGTATTTAGTGCCAGGACAGCTGGAAAAACCAGTCTTCTACATTAACGCACAATAACTATGATTTTGTTATTTAATGCTCAGACAACTGCTGCATCAATTAGTGTTTTATTTATGGGGAAAAAGCAACAAGAACAGTTTGGGCTAACTTCTGGAGGAGAATTAGGGGGCTTTGTTCAAGAATCGTGTAAATACAAGCAACATGTCACAGCAGGGCTGGAGAAGTGAACCTTCTTGGGACAAGAAAAACATTAAACTTGGGCCACACCAAGGTTGTTGTTAAGCTTTTAGAAGAAAGTAATTGCAACACCATTTTGTGAGAGCTCCGCCATGTGAGCAACAAGTGTGAGCGCATGTTACTGCATCAGGCTCTTCAGAAGCTTTAGCTGTCTCCTGTTCATCTTCAGCACATTATGAAGGTCACACAAGGAACTGCTGTCATGTTCAAAAAACTTCAGTGTTAGGCATATTGGAAATGTTCAACTTGGACAGAGAAGATCCTGTCGAGTCAGCCCCTTCAGAATTAACCAGCTGTTCAACTGGAAATTTTAATAACCACAGTTTCAGACCTTTCAGACCTTGATATCTAAAAGTCTGCCTCAACACTGTCTTAGGCTTCCCTCTGCTGTTCCCTGGATCTTGCAATACGAAAAGCAACGGAGGGAAACCACAGTGCAGATTAGGCAGTGCCTTCTGAAAGCATTTTGGGTCAGTTACACCTGGCATGAGCAAAAAAGATTTTTGGGTAATATAAAAAAAGAAAGAATCAAACCTTCCCCTGTAGACAAATTTCATTGGTTCCACAGCCAGTGCTGTCGCTACAATGTCATCAGCATTATGTCTTCTTCCACTGACAACCATCAAACCATCCATCTTGCCAATAACAAAGACAAGTCCGCCCGGTCCTATAAAACCTAGTAGTCCAGTCCTTATAAAAGGATATTCAGTGATAGGGCCACCAGAACTGGTCATAGGAAACACCTGTAAGACAGAGAAACAAAAGTCTTCAATTCTAAATGCAGAGAGCATGCTGCAAAATATTTCAGGCATGCTCTCTCGTATGGCTCTTCGGAAACAAAGTAAATAGGTCACTGGTGATGGTCTTTACTCTTCACTGATCATAAAGCAGTGTCAGGAAACTCCCAGACCAGTGTGTGTAATTTTCAGTACCTGAGTTCCAGGAATGTCAATCCCACTCTGTTTACCATACATATTTACCCTAACCGTGGCTCTGAAAATATTTTATGGCCTTAAAAATATATATATATAAATCAACATAAACAATACTGAATAAAAACCCCCTGCTGTTCAGAGTGCAGCTAACCTGATGTGCTATGTACAGGTTACTGAGATATTAAACACTACAGGAGAGGTTCTTTTCAGGACCCAGCACATTGTAGAGAAATAATCAGGCTAGAAATGAAGCTGTTTTAAGGTCCTGCACGCTAATGACTCTTGCAGCTGATCACATTTTTATCTAAGGTCAATTAAGTCCTCACAATACCATTGATAATGACTTCTGTAGCATGTCTAAAAGTGAAAATACAGCCCTATACAGCCCTCTCTAAATGTTTGAACACCAGATGCATATGTGACTTCAATGAGATAGATTTCTACTGTTTTTTCTACCCTAACTAGCACAGCGTTATCCTTCTGACACATGAGCCACTTTGAGACACATTCTGACACAAACGCACTTTCCTGCCATCACTTCAAATGGAAGACATGGCTATAAAGTGTCCTTCAAGGCTCATCTAAAAAGAAAGGACAACATCTTCTGCCAGATGCCCACAGGTGACTCTTACTGAATAGACTTAATGCTTGTACATCCTTAGTCGTAATTCATTTCAGGAACACAAAACTCTTTGATTCACTAAAACTTGTAACATTAATTACATAGCAGAACTTGGAGAAGGCTCCTAAGAACATCTTTAAGTGTAAAAATTAGTGGCCCTGCTTATTCAATGGCAATCTATCTGCTTACTTTAGGAATAAGTCTAAATATGCCGTTAAACTGTAGACCCAGTTATGAATTACAAATGATTTTGCAATTACAGTAAGTACTACAAAATGAACGTAAGTACATTTCTACCCTGAAATATGTCAAGTCCTGGATTATCATTCACACCAGGTACTGACAGCTGTACTTGGAGCACAGCTACAAGAAATTTCAGATCGCAATAGCATAGCAGGATTCCTGGCTTCAACAGCAGGATGGAGAATCATATCTACTAGTCTCCATTGATTATTTAATGTATAAGGTTTACAACATTTAGATCTGCGTTTTGCAGGAGCTATTAGTCATGTTTGGTCTATTAAAAATTGTAATATCAGAGCATTTGTTAAGGGAAATGTAAATGTATTTTTCTTAACTTATTTCTCAAATACTAAGAGACTAGAACCTAACAAAAATCTCAGCTCATTTTTTTTCCCAGTATTTCTCTGATTTGTTCAGCCTTTCATATGGGCTTTAGCAGAAGTTAATGATAACAAGAGAGCAGGTACAACAGAGCTATCAACACAGCTGTTTGCATGGAGCTGAAACCTAATGGAAAACAGACTCCACAAAGCAAGAAGGCTTTCACCTAAGGCAGTTCAAACAAAAGCAGGTGGGGACTAATTAGGAAAAGGTGTCTCTGCTGTTCAGATACTTCTTGAAGACTACATCTGTTAGGATTCTGTATAAATGCAAGCCTTTAACGCTGGCTGCACTGTGGAAATACTGGGAACTGATTCTTAAAGATACCCAGCAGCCTTACAACTGCTTGCAACAATCAAAGTTGCATGGAGCTAGCTCACAGACTAGTACAGTACTACCTTTTGAACTTTGTCTTTCTTCCTGCTTTCCTTCTGATTGTTTCAGCCTCTGGTATCTTCTTTCAAAATTAAAATAAAAGCTCTTCAGAGCCAAAACTAAACCCATATAAAGATCTACTACTGCACTTAATGAAATGGGCTTCAGCGCAGATTATCTGGCTAGAGTACAGGTCCCAAGCCACAAGGATTGATTAGTACTGCTATTCTGATGTTATTACTATCAATATTTTATGTCAAACATTATCTCGGAATAGAAGAAGTTAACAAGGAAGGATTTTATATAGCATTTTTTTGTTCAGCTTACCTCAAAAGTATTTTTGGTCATGCCCGAGAGTCCATAGTATGATGTACCCGTTGCAATAGCACATACACAAAGCTCTCCTATTTCATCTGTTTTACAGAGCTGAGGAACTCCATCTGGCTTCACTGAACACATTATAGCTAGAGGGAGAACATAGGACTTTAAAAATATTATAAAAACTGCAGAATAACATAAATGCTGCAGGAAAGACATCATGGAGGAGCTGACATAAACAAATAAATTCTATGTAGAGAAGTGTCTAACAATCAGTTTCTCAAACATTAACATGTTCAATGTTGTCAAATGTTATATATATTATTTATAGTATTTATACAAAGAATGCAAAGATCTTTATGCAAACCCAATCTTTACACTCATAACAAAACTTAATTTTCCTTGCTCTCTAGATTTTCAGTTAATTGGTAACATTGCTGGGAAATGTGTGTTCCCAGCTTTCCATACTGAAGACCAGATTTGCCGCAGTCAGTGTAAAATGAAATACCTGCAGTTTTTAATAATAATTACACTGCCAGGGAGGCAGGCAACCAGGAAATTCACCTTTCACAAAGTAGCAAGTAACACCCTATGAAAGATCAAGATATTTTAGCAGACTAACACAGTTGTTTTAGTAAGTATTTATCAGAGCTCAGACTCCCTCTCACTGGTCTTACAGTACTGCAGAGACAGCGAGAGCTAAACAAGAGGGATTAGAAAGCAGTGGTCCGAGGAGGAAGCACTATTTTATGTGTCAGCCATGTGAATAAGAATCAGGTATGCTGTCTTAGCTATAATCCCTGGAGCTGGAGTCCAGCATGTGTAGATTTTGCAGCTGCAAAGAGGATATCACGAGCAAGAGAGACCAGAAATGAATTAGTAGGTCTTTAATGTACAAGTGTAAAGAATCTTAAATGACCTTTCTCACTCTGAGGATAAATAGAAGCATGTACTTTCATTAAAATGATCAGAATGTAGCACGAAGTACAAGATGGTACACCTACAATAATATCTTTCATAATAACAATTAGACGACAGCCAATCTTATCTTTCTTTATTTTAAGTTACTAAACTGGAATTTTGTAAAATGCATCATATGTTTTATTCCTGTGGTTCACAAGAGACATTCTCTTGTGAAAAACTACAGTACTATGCTTTTCTAGTCCCTATTATATCTCATTTATGAAAAATCTTATCTTTTTCTTTAGAAGCACTGGTTTCAGCTTGAATTTATTAACATGAACTGTTCAGTTATACCTCCTCTTTCTAATAACTGGATGATAGCACAGGATCTTTGGAAAAACATTCTGCAAGCCGTCAGATAGCAATTTTGTTCATCCTTAGGATAGGTTATCAAAACTTTCACTGCCAAGTCTCATTTGGGTCAGGCTTATGGATATTTACAGCCTTCAGATATCAGAATCCAACTCTCTTATTTGCTGTACAGTATCTTACAGTTATGGAATGGATGTTCTGATGTGGTAACATTGTCCAAAGCACCCCACTAATGCATGTAAAGACAGCCACAGAGGTAAAAAGAGAAAAGAAATCTTGGGATTTCCAAACCATAAGTTTTACAAGGTAATGCTTCTGGACTAAGATGTTTTCATGTGCGTATGTTTGAGTCCCAAAGCTTGTCGTCCAACAGCAAAGCATGCCCACCAATGACGTCCTACAGCTAACTGCAATTGATGAATCACAGTAAATTTCGAAGAAAGTTCCTTACCTCCTGGCATCACTAAGCCAACATCCTGGACAGTCAGAACAGAAAGCTTTTCTTCAGAGTCCACACGAATCACTCCGTAAGTGAGCCCATGCATGGACAGAACTCCTCTGCCCGGTGGCTGATTGCTGTCGTCTGTTGGCCTGCAACCACGGGTTACATCATCAGTGCTCCAGCAGGCAGACTTAGGAATTTATTCTTCTTAATGGACTACTATTGCAACTACTCCTTTGTTGAGTGCTTAAAATTTCACCTTTTTTCCCCTACTAGATCTGGCAGAATCCTGTTTTTCAGTCACTCGTGAGTATTCTGTCTGTCAACTCTCCTGTTCAGAAGCCACCCACATGTATTTGGGGCTGCAGAGATGAAAGTAAAAGCTAACATTTATCCAAAACAGCTTGTATTTCATTTTCAGACAGATTGATGAAGACTGTTTGATTACTTAAGCAAAGGCCTTTTGCATTGTTTAAAAATACTGAAAGGCAGTGCAGATGATGGGGAGGGAAACGGCATTCTAAATATTTGGAACTGATGAGTAAATAACTTAAACTCTATGTTACCTACTTTGGGGAAACCTAGGAAACTAAACTCACCTGCTAGATTAAAAGCCTAACTCTAGTACACTATTATTAAAGCTGAGATTAGAATACAAGTATGCTATGCATAAATCATATATGACTTCCCACTCCTGATACTTAAGCATTTAAAATTATCAAAAAAAAGAAATTAGGTTGTAATAGATTCACTGCCAAGTATCTGTGGTAGCAGCAAGGACTTTACTATCTTTATTTTAGTGAATATAACTGAATTCTTTCTATTCTAATTTATTCCATGAAAATCAAAACAAATTAGATCTTCTTCATTCATGGTCAAAATCTTGTGTATGCAGCCTCTTTGTAATGCCTCAGTTTGCTCAGATTCACTACCCACATGCTGTACGATTCCACAGCATCAGCACAAGCTGTCTGTCACCTTGCTTCAGTATAAAACCGCCTGTTCTATCAGTGGATACGATTATATATATATATGTAGAGCGTGGCTTGAGCAAACCAATGTTGACGTGTGCAAGTTATTAAGTCAAGGGAATATGTCAGAGCTTTTCTTGTCTGAGAAGATTCTTACACTGTCCTGCATTTTAAAATGCAGACTGGATGCTAACGTGGTGCTGATTTGAGTGTGGATAGTGCATCCATGTAAAGCAGCCAGACTTCAGCTATTTTCAAGATGGATAAACCAGCCAATAATTAGCTCAGGATTCTACATTTTTCCTAAGCAATCCATCATAACACAACTATTTTTTTAACAGACAATGTCCTTTTATATGATATTTCTCCTCTACTGTGCTTGAAATACTAGTCGGGCTTTAGCCAATCATGCTCATGTAAGCCTTGCAATGATCAGTACTATAAATTTCAATTAATAGGTTTTACGAGTCGTATTTCTCAAGTGACATTGTCAACAAAGAAGGATGTGGGCACACTTGAAAATGCATTAGAGCATAACAAATGGTGCTGGTAAACAAGGAGGTGTGATAAATAACATTCCCATCATATGAAAAGAACTTTCAGTGACATTATTGATCAACTTCCTCCCATCCCCCCGCAACACACATTTTACAGCTCATGAGAAGAAAGGCACACACAGCTTCTCACAGCCTTTTAGCAGTAGAGGCCATCTAGGCTTTCATCACATACATCTTCTTGTATTACTTATCAGATCCAAAGACTGCTGAAAAGAAGGGCTGCTGCAGTTTTGAAAGACACTGGCTGTGTACAGGACAGGAGGGCCAGGCAGGGAAGCAGGAGGCATGAAGCCTGCTAGGATCATGTTGGGCAACTTGTCATTAGAGATACACTTGGGTGGTCTGGGTTGAGATATCAGCTTTACCCAGGTTAGCAAGAAGTGCTGTGTGATGGAAGTAGGTGTGCAAAAGTATCCTGGTTTGAGCTAAACAGAACCAATTCTGTTCTGTGATTTTACTTTTCAGCTAATTCTCTCTTAAAAGTCAACACTTTCTGAAGTTAACAGCAAGAAGGAAAGAGTTGGTGCTGAAGATCTGGGGTCCAGAGAACAGGCATTTCAGAGCTCTGTTTCAGAGTACTTCTGGTTTTCTGGCAGTCTGAGGTGGATCCTTGAGTGAGACACCAGTTAACTGTGCTTGAGCCTCCTCTTGCAGGCAACTAGTTGTCTGATGCAGAGATAGAACACGGCCAGAGGACCAGGATGGAGTAGTGAGGTGGGGAGGCAAGCAGCTGACAGCACCTCTATGTCATCCTAGAAAGTATCTTGTCAGCAACAATTCTGCAATATATCATATCTTATTTTGTTGTGTCCATGATATCCACATGGGAACATCCCTAAAACAAGTATCTCTGCCAAGCGGAAAGAGAAGAATCACTTGGAAAGAAGATGAGATAGAAATCATAGAATGTTTTAGTATGGAAGCTGTCTGTAAAGGCCATCTAGTCCAATGACCCCTCCAATGGGCAGGGACATCTTCAAACAAGATCAAGTTACTCAGAGCCCTGTCCCACATGACCTGTGCGTATCTAGGTAAAAAAATTCTTCCTTATATCTAGTCTGAATTTACCTTCTCCTAGTTTAAAACCATTTCCCCTTGTTTCATTGCAACACTCCCTGCTAAAAAGACTGCCCCCATCTCCCTTTAAGTATTGAAAGGCTACTATAAGGTCTGCCTGGAGCCTTCTCTTCTCTAGGCTGAAAAACCCCAACTCGCTCAGCCGTTTTTCACAGCAGAGGCGTTCCATCTCTCTGATCATGTTTCTGGCCCTCCTCTGGACTCACTGCAACATGTCCATGTCTTTTCTGTCTAGACATTAAGCACTGACCACTATCTTCTGGATGCAACCATCCAACCAATTCCTTATCCACCAAACAGCCCACCCATCAAATCCATTATGTCTCCAACACAGACAGAAGGATGTTGTGGAGGACTGTGTCAAAGGCCTTACAGAAGTCCAGACAGGTGACATCCATGCCCTTGTCATGTCATCACAAAAGGTTGGCGAGGCATGACTTGCCCTTGGTGAAGCCATGCTGGCTGTCCTGAACAAAGAACACTATTCCAATGCCCTTACAATTAACACTAAAGTTAACATTTTTAATTTTCTTTACACATTCAATATTTCTAATATGGGATTTGAAATTCTGTAAGACTGCTTGCTAGACAGAGGTAAATCCTTTGATTAAGGTAGGAGGAACTAAATAAAGATGTAATTCCACCTACTTCATATACTAAGTAAATTTAGCTTAAACCACCAGACAAACCTACCCTTTTAGTTTCCTTAACCATGTGCATCTAATTCAAAGCTGATTTGTTCATACTGAGTAGCTGGAGACCATTTTGAGACCAGTTACCACTACCATTTACAGATAAAAACGGTTTACCGCTAATTTCTACCAGTTGTTTAAAAGGGTACAGACCTGCACTTAAAGTTTTGCCCTCCCTTAAGCAAATGGCTTCAGACTAATATGCAATAAACCAAAGGGGAATACCGTAAAGAACTATTTACATGACACATTCCTTTAATATTAAGCTTCGTGATTCAGCTCTAAGGCTGAAGTATCTACTAGTCTATTACTGACTCTTTTCTTTCAAACTTTAAGGGTATTTCAAATGAGAATTGGTTTTGTTACTCTTCCTTGTAGGAAGATCAGTAAAAATACACCACAGATTTTGAAAGAGTCAGAACATTAACAGGGAGCTCTCTGGATCTTTGCTCTGCGGGGAGTCATTTTAATGCATACTTCAGCTGTAACTCTTTGGAACTTGTATGGTAATGACTTTACTGTCAGTAGAGATGGCTTGAATAAAATGAAAAATACTAAAGCTCCCGAGTTCAGCTGGTATTATCCCAGCATTAAACAGACTTCAAAAAGGAGATATAGGTTCAGTAACATTCACTGTAGTAAGAACTGCTCTGTAATTACACAGCAAAGCATTGAAGATAAAAATGCGTCCTCTTTTTCTTTTATTTGAATTATGCACTATTTTATGCGCTAATAATTTTTTTTTATGTAAGCTCTCAGTGTCAGTTAATTTGAAAATTAATCTCTAGTGTTTCAGGTGGCTATAGGCATAGAGTTTAAGTCTAGAAAGGGCACAACAGCCATCATATGCTGATACGCAGCGAGTTCTTCCACTTCGCAACCTGTGATCCTGTGCAGATTTTCCAAGGCTAGTACGGGAAATGAAAACCCCCTCCCACTAATCAGGGCTCAGCATGAGCGATGTCCACTGCCCTTCCACCTCCTTTCTGCATTTACAAGCAAGAGCTCGTTCCAAGGGAGTGAAGGTCTGCCCAGCCTATGGGAAGGAAACCCAACGCAACGGGAAAACAACACACTCCGTGGTATAAAGCTAAGGACAGGCTAGTGGAGCTGAGTGAAGGACTCTCTGAGATCCTGTAGCTCCCAGAAAGACAACTGGGCAAGATAAGTACCTGAAAGATAGCTTTCAGGTGTTTTAAGTTAATAACGAGGTGGCTGAAAGTCAACCACAACCTTGGCCTCATGTCTTTTTCCTGTGATGTTTCATCAGAAAGCTAAGGGAAAATCTAGTTAAATTTCACTTGGACAGTGTATTTTAAGCGTTGTGGCAGGAAGTATTTTACTTAATGCTATTACAGTGCTTTACAGTTTTATACTGTATGTTTTAACACGTGAAACAACTATAAAGGGCTGCAGAAATCTGAACTTAAAACCAAAGTGCCTACTGTTCAGGGCACAACTTTGGAAAACTCCACCAAAACAGAGAACAGTTATGCCATTTACTGTATACTGCAACAGTCTTGGCGTGACGGCTGCATACTGACATTCATGTTCATAAGGCCCATTTTATTTCTAGGCACAAATCCCCCAGACTCCAAGAGCATTTCCAGATGATTACTGAGAGTCTACAAATGGTTAAAAAGTGTCACCCAGACAAAACCAACCTGCAGAATGTTGTAATTCTTTGGAAAGAGACTACTTCAAAGCCTGACTTCCCTCAATAGCAATTCCACATAAAATCCCAAGTTTTAACTAATTTCATGCTTACAGTGGTATTTTTCCACTTCTCTTTACAGAATTAGCCTTTTCATTTTAGTCTATTTCATTTAAAATTAGATAAAATTACAGAAATAGGAACTATATTATAAGGCACTCTGAAGTTAAATTATTACTCTACAAATTCTTCCTCTATATCTTCTCTGGACATAAAAAAAAAACCCCAAACCAACTAGAAACGGCATTCAGAAGTTAAGTATGCAGTTCCATACTTAACTTTTCATACATATATAACTTTCATACATGCATACTTAACGTTTCATTTCTTCTCAAATTACCATGTATATTCTACCATCGTTCTATCGCCACTAGTGTAGCACAGTACCTTCGAATAGCCACAGTGAGAGCTTCTGGTGAACTAGCGCAGGGACAAATGACCTCCTGTCTTAGACCTTTGCTTTGGAAGACATTGAGAAATGCATCACAGGAAGAAATAGACCCTGGGGGGGGGAAATATCAGAGAAAAATAATCTGATTTATCTGATTTCTCCAGGGATGCTATTCAAACTGCAAACTTACTATTGAATATATAGGCTTTTCAAGAGAAAAAAATTTAAAAGGACTCATGTTCACTGGGAAAGAAGTCATAGCTGCTACAATCATATATATGTATATTCAGTTGTGGATGCATACAGAGAAGACTAATTTTTGAGCATGAAGTCCTTTCACTATGCTTACATAGAAAAGCCATTATTGCTAGACTACAATGTGAGTTTCATTATAATTTTCTTTTTTAAGATGAGGCAAATTAAAGGTTTAATTCAGAAACTCAAAGCAAACTACTATAAACAATCAGAACATCTATATGTTGGCATCTTAAATAATATAAATAGTTCATGTTATTGTCATGAAGTAATCCAGATGCGGTTCTCAAAAGTAGTATAAGTATTCCTCTAAATTCTTCAGTGTCTTGTGCATCTGAGCACCATTATTCAGCAGAAATGTTCTGATCTTTTCTATAGCTTAAGGTTATTTACTTCAGTCTTTCATGTTAAACAAAACTGGATTTACTGCGACTTACGTTATGTGGAATATCAAGTTTGCTTCAGGATTAGCTAAAGAAAAATACATTTTAAAAAAATCCACAATTAATTACTGTTTCTATAAATATCATATAGTTTGCAGTAGACAAACCTTACACTTTGTAAATATTTTAGCTAAGATGACTGAAGATCTAAACTTTAAATGCAAGACAGGAAACACTCCCTAGCCCCTATCAGACTGCAGGAGCATAGCTTACATGGGTTTGCACCGTCAGCCACTATTAGCATACGCAGCGAGGAAAGGTTGATGTCTCTCTGATCTCGATGTGCCACCAACGCCCAGTGCATGTCTCTGGATTTTACACAGGCAACTTTTGCTGCAACAAGAATGGAAAGATTACTAATACACCATATAAAAGCTACGCGGCTGTATTATCAATTCGTACTTCTGATTTTGACAATCAAGCATGCTTTTGTATATTCTGGCTCCTTACCTTTGTATTGACAGACTTTTTGTATCCATGACAGTGGATTCACTTTCATTAACGAGTATGGGATACTTATAACATGCATCATGTTCATGACACTCTGAAATGAAGTAAGATAAATGGGTTTTATAAAACAATTGTGGCAATTATTTATATCGTGTTAAGGGCAGGGGCATCTATGCAAATCACTCTGCTTGTTTTATTGTCAATGCTGCCATTTATCTCTTCCTATCTAGCTATCTACATTAGGATGAATCAGAATCTCATTTTTTATTGATTTAATTATGGATGAAGGATTTAGACTAATCAGATCATAACTTTGAAGCAGTACTGAAAAAAAGAAAACAGATTTTCTTCCTATTTATACTTTAAAGTGATTCACTTTAAATAAAAAACAATAAACACTGGATGAACAATATCTGCATGTTTGCTATGTAGGTTAATATTATCCCTACGCCAGCTAAACTTCAATATATATGAAGACTCTTTACTCAAAGAAACAAGTAACGGCAACATATCTGTCTAAAGAAATCCATCTCTGTGGAGACTGAAAAACTACTAACGATAAGGGAGCACAACTTATTTAAAAGACACTAGACAGAGAAATTGGAGTCACAGATTAAGCACAGATCAATTTATTTAACAGAAAATTAATGAAGGAGTTTTTATTCTTTCTCCAGGTGGGCTAACAGCAGTATTTTCAACAAGGTCATGAAAAGTTGCAGAAAATGTAGAAAAAGCGGGTGAGTGAAACCAATGACAGATCCAAACCCAGTCTCTCTCAGTCTTACGACAGTCAATTTCTTTAATGATTTCTCAGTGTTACTACTAAACAAACAGACTGTAAATGAGCTGCTGCTTTACTCCTGTTACCATTTAGAAACATCTTCTGAGGGCAATATATTTTCACTCACAGCAACTCAGGTCAAATGCAGTATTTGTTTTGGAAAATCTAGGCTTAAGAAAGGTTAAGCGTCTCAGTGGATTAGTCATCTAAACACTTGCAGAATTGCAAAAGATAGTTCCCCTTTCAGTCAGGCACAAGTGTAGTACAGGAAAAGCACTTACAGGCAAGTCATGAAAAAAACGAAGTTCATACCAAGATTAATAGCAAAGGAAGGCACAGAAAATCTCTATCAAATGCTTGCTTTCAACTTCAGTGATAAAGATGTTTTTTTAACACAAGCTACTTGTGGGCGTTAAGCCTAACAGACAGTTTCTGCTTCAGAAGTGTTATTACTGCCCTATGGTATTAAGAAGAGTATAACACTGCATGGTAAAAGTATATGAGATCCCTGGGAATCATAGCATTTAGAGCCCGTACATCCTGCCCGCCCCGTGACCTTTCAAAACTTGGTATTTGCTTTTAAAATGACCAGCAAATAGTGAGCATTTTTTCAGTCATCGACTGCTGCAGCACCTTTAAAAACAATCCTTAAAAATATGTCAATTGCTTCCCATTTCAATGGAGGAATAAATTTAAACAGCAAGCAGACAATTTATGCAATTTAAAGTATCAGAAATGCTTTAATGTTAGCAAAACCATCTGCTGGTGGGAGTTTTGACGGAGAAGCTAGTCAGTAGCAATATAGCTCTGCCATTGGATCACATCCTTACAGAGGCAAGTGCTAATTTAATTTGTTTTTGCTATAAAGTCTGATCTCAAAATCACACATCAGTAAGATGAGAATAAGATGGTAAGAATGAGCCCAGCATACTTGACATGATGAATAAAAATACACTGGCATCTTTACCGTGCTTATTATGAGTAAGCGCACTAGCAAAAGATCATGGGCTTACAGAGTGGAAACATTTGTATTAGAAGAAACTGCAGGGCATCCCAGTTTGTGATAGTAATACACATATTAGGTTAGTTTATTTTAAAATACTCACACAAAATAAAAAAACATACTTACTGTAAGAATCCCATGCCATAAACCAACATCCTTCTTGAAATCTAATACATTCACAATTGTTTCAGCTGTCCAACAAAAACAAAACAAAGTTTATTTTTCAGAACATGGCACGGAACCAAGGCAAACCCACTCAAAGGAAGGAAGCTTCAGTATAACATGACTGATGACCTCAAAGCTTAATTTTCATAGTAAATCTCCACTGCAGGATTTGTACTGGCTAAGACGTTATTTGTAGCTCTCACAAAGACACTTTAAACGTGTGCATATTTTCTAAAACTAATGGGAAAAAAAATGGGTTTTTAAATCTAGAAGCCTTTGACACAGATCTATGCAATACACAAGACAGGAGTCTGGTGAGAAGCAAATTACAATTCACACTTCATTTTAAGGAGGAAGCAAGGGAAGCATACTCCGTACCTTCTGTGTATCCACATGCCTGGGTCAGAGCTTGGCAGTGTGTCAGCAGTGCAATCCTTGTCACAGTCACCCCAAGCACACTTCCATCTTTACATGTTTTGTACTAAAAAGAAATAAGCAGGTAAAGTCAATGTGCAATAGTTGCCCTATTTCCATTATTTAATAGCTATGTTTAAAGTGTTTCCTACATAGGTGAAAGAAGGGCACATCTAATGACTCTATTTTAGAAAGGCAGCAGTATCAAGGAGTTAAGGAGGCCTTTTTTTTTTTTTTAAAAGACACTTTTTTCAGATAGGCTTTCTCCCTTTAACTGAAGATTCCTAGGCTTGATATCAGAAATCTCTGCTGTTTGAATACAGGTATTATGGAAAAATTATTCTAACAATTGTGAACATGTTAGTGACAAACCGACTGGTTAGATTTAGCAGACAATAACCTAGTTCCGTCTGTTCAGTGTTCACATGGTGGATTTTATAGGCCAACCAATAAATCTGAGCTTCTCTCTTCTGTGTCTTACAAGGCATGGGATAAAAGCTGACCATAGAGTTATTGCTGGGTGCTGTTATAATAATCTATATGTATACAGTCTGAAAGACACAAGCTCTTTGATTAGAAGAATATGAAAGAGTCATGAGAAAGCAGAATAAAAAAGCAGTGTGAGATCACTGCTGATGACTGCAGTAATTTTTGCAACTTTATGCAAGAGTCTGAAAACTATCAGTGGCAATTAAAGTAAATTAAACATTTATCTTTCTCTATGATGAAGATAATCAGCAAGATTGGAAGTGGAAGTATCTCTGCTTCTCTAGCCCAGTGTTGTGACTGTGTGAAAACAGGAAATACCTTTGCTCAATTCACTCCAACTTATTCCCTTCGAATAATCACTTAAATTCAATACTAAAATCACTGGATTAAAGACATTTGGGTCTATGCAAAAGGGAAAAAAAATTGAAAGAAATCTAAAAGAGAAAAATTAAACTTAACAGCATTGCTAATTTTCCCTTCCTGACGCTGGTCTTTTGGGGGGGAGTGTGATGCACAAAGCAGTAAGCGACAGCCAAGGATTTGAACAAGAAGTTCTTTCTCTTTCAAAGGGTTGTCATATGACAACTAAAGCTTCGCTATGAAATTTGCTGTCTACCCACCTCAAGGCTAGTGGGCAAGCCCACACTGTGAATGAGACTGAGATTGGTCAAGGCAAGTTTAATGTAATACTGCGGCAGCCACATAGATGACATAAAAATATTAACGTTAGAAACCCCCAAAATGCAATTTAACATTTTATTCTTTTCTGAAATCAATATCCAGTATAATTTATTAGAAAATATTATTTATTAACAGGCTAAAACAGGATGTTTTCTGCTACCGTGACTAGCGAATGAATAATAGTGTTTACCTAATCCAGAAGTGCCATACGCAATGATTCGAGGAAAAGATGCATCTTCATTAACTCACCTCAATGTAAGCTGTGTCATTGTTTGCATCCTTGATGTGTGGGAACCAGTCACGAGGTGGCTTGGAGAGGTGTTTAGACTCTGTGACAAACCACAGCAGCTTTGGCCAGCCTGAGGTACAAAGAAAAGTCAGCTTTTGTCGAGTTTCTGCCAGGTAAGACAAGACAAAAATCTTCTCTGCCTGAGTTTTTTTCCCTAGATGCCTGTGTCACCATTATCTAATCGCTGCTTCTTTTAAACCTCAGCGTAGCATGTGAAAGAAGATTTTCCAGAACTGCTTTCTTAACAAGGCTATCATGGCCTTCTCAGACAATCCCAGAAGAAATGGCTGGCAAGTCTAAGCTGTTATTGACCCGCATAGTTTACTACCACTCTCCTCTCAGAGGTTACTGTCCTTACCATGTAGCTACAGGACTGAATCCTACGAATGCTTCTTATTTACTACAGTCCTAAGTCTGTTGGTTTAATTTTGTTTGTGGCCACAGAGGATTTCAGCAGCGCAGCTGAGCCAGGGCAGAACCAGACCAGGAGTCCTCACCCAGCTTGGCAGCCATGAGGTGGGAGCAGCCACCTCTGCCAGACGGCGATGCTCAGCCAGGGCGACCATATTTCATCATGAGCCTGATTCTCACCCACTACAACTAAACAAGCGCAATGACTGTTACTGTAGTAAATGACTGGTGATCCGCACAATAAGCAAGGGTTAGCTTACCTTTAAACTGTGGTATCTCGCCGGTGGGGCTCTTAGGCAGTCCTTTATGGCATGCGTCACTAGTCAAGGCCACAGTAACTCCACAGCTTCCAAGCAAAAAGCCTATTTGTTGACTTCCTGCATCCTAAGAGATGACAAAATAAAAGCAATACACAGAACTGATTAGAAGTGATTACAGGCTGAAAACTTCACTGACCTTTGGCACACTATCCCGAGAGGAAAACAGTCTCTTTCCTTTAAGCAACTTAACTGATTTGTACAGTTATGAAGGAACTGGCCAACCTAGATATCCTCTTGGCTGTAACACCATAAACCATAGAGAGAACTGAAGCCATCAGATGGCTCCTGCTCTCACACCTCTTCAGAAATGACAATG